TGTGTTCGTCTGTTAATGGCACTTAAACGCGACTGCGAAAATGATTTTTTAATAATGACTATGATCGTAAAACTATAAACCATTTATATATAACTGAAATTGAAGTCCATTAGTTTGACATTCAATTGATTAAAATTTCACTTGGACTTTATTTTTCAAAAAGCAAGACTGTAAGCCAATATAAAACACAGCTGATTGAAATTAAGTCAGGAATTTTTCCGTAATCACAATGTCGTTGGAATCCAATACAAGGTCGTAAAGCGAATGGAAATTCCCAAGTGGAAATGGGAGGTAGTGCGGTATGCTAAGGTGTGTCCTCATCCTGTTTTCCGGTCCTCGTTTAGTCCTCTCCTGTTACTTGTTTCGTTTTTATGACTTTTTTAAGTAAGTCGCCGCGCGCAGCTTGCAAGTCTCAAGTCTCAAATCCCTCTCTCCGCCATTTTATCTTCCTGTTTTCCCTACATTATTTCCTCCGCTTTTTACATTCGCCATCTTCTTTTTTTGTTTTTGTAATTGAATGCGTTAAATTACAGCAAATTTATGCTTATCAAGTTTTGTTTCTGCTCCGCCCCGCTCCCCATGCCGCCAGTAATATCTACCCCCGTTTTTTGGGGGCCCACGAGTGCTGTTTACGGTTATTTAGGCGCAGGCACTAAGTTCCCTCCATGCTCTCGTATTTTTTTACGATTCTGAGGGGGTAGAGATGCCGGGATTGGCAGTATAAAAATACTTATTTGCAAACTTTTGTGGCGGCATCGCTGACTCATTCAAGGATGACAATGAGGAGGAACCGGATCTGGGGATTGGCGGAGCCGATGCCTACAGGTGCCCCCAAGGACGGGCGCGGATTTGTGGCAGTGCCGCCCACAAAAAGCGATGGGATCGTGAGTCACGATTCTAAAGTCAAAAAACACATAAACACTAGACACTGGATTTTGCTGATTATTTTAAAGCTGATAACATAAACATGGTGATTATAGAGTAAACAATTGGAATTATTAGCTGACACACTCTAGTTTAGGTGTTGGTTATAATTATAACGTTGTGGTTTATTAATTAGAATTAGTTAATTCAACCAGAATATTTTTAAAGATAGGCTTCTTCTTGGTAGAAAAGGTAAGGTAGAGTTGGGCTGTGTATGCTATCTATTTCAGATATGTATCCTTGTACGTTTTCAGTGTTTTGTTATAAAGCATAAAGACTTAGATTTACTTCAAATCTAAAATTCTCATTAAACTATCTATGCAACCTTTGGTGTTTTATTACAAAATATAAAGACTCACTTCATATCTAAGCATCTCAATAAAAACAAAAGAAATAATGAACAATAAATAAAAATTAAACAATATAAATGTGAATACAAATTTTAAATTATTCAAATTTAGATTTTATTCGGGAAATACAAACAATGTTTCCTATCCATTACCATTGAAATACCTTACACCAATAATTTTAATAAATGTTATTATATTCTATAATTATTTGTAAAATAGCCTCTCACCTCTAACTAAATGGAAGGAAATCATAAGGGGAGCAAGGTTAGTCCATCGATGGCGCCACGGAAGTGCAGAGCGCGTAACTAAAACTTGTTTTCCTTGCACTGCAACTTACTTTGCTTTTGTCCAGGTCTGCAGACACAGATACAGATACAGAAACAGATACAGTTTCAGACACAGACATAGATACAGATACAGAAACGACTACGCCCCGGACCTCGGCAACCTTGAAAGTTGTTTCTGCGTGCGGAGAGCGGGGATCAACTGCAACCGGAAGCCCTAACCAAAGCCAAAGTCACAGTCAGATTCAGATTCACATTCAGATTCAGAGTCACAGAAGGAGTCTTACCTGGCAGAGCAGAACCGACGGTGGCAAGTTTGAAAGTTGGCTTAGGACAGAGCCAGAAACATGCCGATGGAAGATGGAAGAAGTTTGTTCACTGGCAGAAGTTCTGCGCCAGTTCTCAGGATATTAACAAGGATATTAACAAATACATTGTGGCCGAGTAATCCCAGGACTTGGTCCCCCAGCATCGCGAATTCGGAGTGAAATGGGACTGAGCTGCGAAGCCGGAGCAAATTAAAGCGAAAAATATCCGGCCAAGCTTTGCCACGCAAATCCAATAGAAATTGATGTCATTTAAATGTACGAAAATGCGTAAAATGTCTTAAAACAAAATATATGGCCGGCCATATATACCCACAAATGGCTGACAGTGTCAAGGTGCTGCAACCCAGACTCGAATTTCGCACAATTTATGCGTTTGCCAACTGGCAAGAAGCAAAAGCAATAAGGCTGAATGCTGAAAAATAGCGTATTTTGCTGTCCCGCTCGTCGCTCGGCAATTTCCAACTGCTGATTTTCCAATCAGTGCACACTCCGATATCAGCTTATTGAAAATATTTGTCTTTGGCCGAACAATCTGAAGTCCCAGTCCCCGAACTGCGAACTGCGAACTGCCGTCTTCATTAGTCTCTGTCGGGGCATCTCAAAGTCTCAAACGAATGGGGAATGTGCGAAGTGGGTGGCCAAATAAAAAAAAAGAAAGGACAGACATCGCAGACAAAGTCAAAGATTTTCCCGCCAACTCCCCCAGCGATGCTTAAGTAATAACTTTTCGGCGAAAAGAAGAAACTGGTCTTTCAAAAGGAACCTCAGCACTCCAGTGCGGAAAATTGGGGATTTCTGGATTGCGATTCCACTGGCCTGCATCAGGAAGCAATCAGGCTCAAATGAATTGTTAAATTTTCAACAAAATGCTATCTATTGAATTGACTTTACATTAACATATTAATTGTAATTATATGATGCCTACTTCATGAGCATAATGTGAGCCCATAAAACCGGAAAATTATTGTTATCGCCACAACACTAAAAGCTACTCAAGTGTTAAGTCTCTTTAATTAAAATAACGAAACTTCGTGGCAAATTTGATAATGATCTTTATTTTGTAATGGTCAAATACATAATACATCAACTAGTGGGCTTTATTGCTTTTCCATGTCATATATGTATGTCCATACATGTTTGCTGCTAAAAATCGGGCATGGAAACTCAAAAAGGCATTTTAGAAAGGACATTTAGCAATGATATACATGAAATGAACATAAATAAAAAATATCTTTAGAGATTTAAGATTTTTCTTTCTCCTTAAAATGCTTGAAAGCTCTACTCCATAAAGACATCTGTTTTTTTTGGATGTATGAAAATTCTTTGCCCTGTTCTGTGCTGAATGTGAACTTAATTTAGTGCATTCTGAACGCCACGGCAGTGAAAACACTTGAAGCAAACAACAAGAATTGAGTTGAATTGCGTCGACCCGAGCCGCAAGTTGTTATTTTTGTCAAAAGCGGGGCACATGAGACCTTATCGGTCCGGGGCGGCTAAAAAAAACACACACAGAACTTCCCAACTCTCGATGCAACTTAAAAAAGACAGATATTGTGTATAATGTTTGGGCGGGGGGCTTTGTTTTCCCTGTACTCCACTCCTTTTTGGTGTGTATTTTCCAGCGAGTGCTCGAGTGACTCCGGGGAAAAGAATGTGGATTTGAAGTGCGGCCTCCTGGGGTCTCCTCCTCCGCATGACAATTCTATTTTTTCTACTTGAATATTTGTCTCCTCGCTGCATCTCTCACTCCACCACCCCACCCCCATCCACTTGCCCCGTCTGCGTCTTTGTTTTTTTCCAACTTTTTCCCGCTTTTCTGGCAATTGCGGAGCTCAGCGAGCAGTGAAAACTAAAAATATGGCCAAGTTTGGCTCAGGGCGATCTCCATGTGAATTTATGGTCCGCTGCCTGGGAATTTCCCGCATGTACACACACAGCCAGCCATCCTATATAATAGATATAGCCATGGCTGTAGCTGAGTGTTTTTTTGCGAGTGGTAGGTTGGCTTTTACTTTTACATTCCGCCGGCATTTCTTGGCCTGCTTAAAGCGCCGTGAAAACGCTCGCAAGGAAATTGAAAAATCGGATGCGGAATTGAATAATGTGTCGGATGGGTGGTTTGTGTTGGCTGTTGGATGCTGGGTGCTATTCAGCCTGCAAGGCCACGCAGTGTCACCTTGCCGCAAGATTTATGCGCGGCGAAAGGGGTCGAGCGAGTGGAGGAGATTTCGCATTTGAAATTGATAGTGCGACATGAGTGGGATTTGTTCGAGTTTCGCTGCTCTCAGCGAAAAGCGAAAAAATCTCGAGCACTTGTTAACGCCAATGTTAGTCTGTGGTAAGGCGACACGTTCAACAACTTGCAGAATCAACAGTATAACTGGAGTAATAAGTCTGCAGATCCATGGATAATTGTTGACCTTTCACAAATTAAATCGTTTTTTCCGGTATGGTATTACAACTATGTTGTAGAATTTCGCTTTAAACTCGAGATTGAAACAGCACAGAAAACAAAGTTTAACTATAGTCAAAATCATAGATGAAAAGTATAGAACATCACAGAAACCATTCTATACGTTTTCTGATACAGTACATTATATTTATTTATTAAATTATTAAAAGAGTTTGTTTTTTGAAAATAAACCAACTATCTTTTTACAAATTTATGTGAACCTTTTATTTTCATGACATTGTTTTACCAATAAAAACATTTTTACCCTGTCTTTGAACCTCGCTTTTCTCCGAGTTTGTATTTCTTTCCTCATTAATGAATATTATTTTAATTAAATCAATTATGCAATTAATGTCTACTTTTTTGTTCTTTTTTCTTAGATTCCAAATAAGAAAAGGTAATGGACATGAAAATAATTTCCTCAACCCTTGTAAAGGTTATGAAAGCTGAAAGGGTTTTGGACTTTCCCCCTAAACTCAAGCCAAGTTTTAACGCATTCTTAAATATTTACAATTATTTAATTAGTGACCACCTAAGCAAACTCGTGGTAAAAAGGGAAAGTTGTTGGCCAAGATAAACGGCACTGGAAGACAAACAAAAGCGGGACTGGGGATTCAAAAGGAGTGGCGTGAGTACTGAATAGTTGTCGTGGAGCACTCACCTTTAATTATCGCCAGAAAGATCAACAGGACAAACAGCGACAGCGACGCTGGCAGCGGGGAGTCCATGTCCTTGGCTTGTTTGTATCGCGTGACTCTTGGGTTGAATGGCTGCCCCGCCCCTCCTGCTCCGCCGCCTCCTTTCAGAGTGGGTGCTGGTGTTGGTGTTGGTGTGGTTGCGCTGCAAAGTGCCTGGCAATCCTTGCCTCGTCACCTTGGCTAAATAGTTGGCCAGCGCTCCTGCTCCCGGAGCTCCCAACTAGCGATGATTAGCACAAAAGACCGAGACAATGCGCCGTGTGGGTCAGAGCTCAACAATGGAAGGTCCCTGAAGTCCCACCGCAGATTATTTAATGCGACGCAGCTTTCATGGAACACTTAAACTATCTCGTCGAAAACTGGAATCTCTCAATTCTTCGGTTTCGCTCAGGGGAGCGCCTTTGATTATTATTTTATTCTGGTATTTTTGAGCAAATATTTGGCACGCGTTTTCCTTCCACTCGCCTCGGATTTTGCTGCGGTTGTGGTTGTGGTTGTGGCCCCGCTAGCTCTTCCTTCTCCACTTTGGTTCAGCGTTGCAGATTTAATTTCCGGTTTCGTCCGGTCACAGATATTATTTTTTTCCTGGATTTTTCCGCTGTTTCTATTTGACTAATTCTCTTTCGTTTGCTTTTCGGGTTTCCCTTTGCGTTTTGCCTTTGCTATAATTTACATAATTTGCACTTTTTTCTGGTTTGCTTATATGGTTTTTTTTTTTCTTTTTGAGTTATTTGTTTTCAGAGTTTGAGAAACCTTAGGTAGCTGTTGTTGTTCTGGTTAATTTTCTGGTAATTTGTGATCCTTATATTTTTAGTACAGTTTAGTATCGTTGTTTCGTTCAGTTGTTAGATGTTATCTGTAAGGAAGAAAAAAAATTAAGTTTAATTTTATATTTTCATATTTATCATGTACTTATTTATAGATTTGTTTACTTTACTCAAATGAATATTTTGTATTATTGAATAGCCTTGTTTTGGTATTTTAAATGTACATAAATTATCAAGAAATTATACATCTAAATCCAACCTCTCGAAATGATAATCCCAAACTTGTATACATTTTCTTCTCGTATAAATTCTCTTTCATTTATTTAAGCCAAGTCCTGGTACCCTTTCAATAGATGATGATACTCCGTTTCTCATTTAACGCGATTTGCGTTAATTCCCTTACTCGTAATCTCCTCCGCTTTTGAGGTTTGCCTATACACACCCAATCCTTGCTCAGTTTAGTCCTTTGATATCAAATCCCTTGCCACAACTTAGCGAAGCGAACTGTTTACCGCAAAGCAAAAGACCGCAAAGACAAATACCTGAAAAACAAAATGAACACCAAAAAATGACAGCAAAAACATTAGCTGAGTTAATGTTTAATTAAAAAATATATACAGTCAGCCCTACTACGGGGTTTTTCTAACCCAATTCCAGTGTGGGACGAGGTGCAGATGGTCTGTCACCTCGGAGGCCTTCGATAACCCCGCCAAAAACCACCAAACCACCCATTGCGAGTCCAGCCATTGATTAGTTTTTGTTTTCGGTCAACAAACTTGAGTAAATTAAAACAATGAATTTGCGTAAAAACGCGAGTCGAACAAAAACAAGAAGGGAAAACCGAAGCAGAAAAATAACAAAAGCAGGCGAAGCGCAAATTAAACCAGTGGCTACTGGCTCCAAGGGGAGAGGGGTGGGAGGGGTAGGGTGTTTCCGAAGGGCGGGGCGACTGTGGGCGGACCATTGGGCCGAGAAATGCAGTAATTGAAATACATGCGGCTATGGCGGCATCGAGTCTGCGTGCGGCATGAGCTGCGATACTACAAAACAACCAGAAAATAAATAGAAGTGAACACGCCGAGTTCTGCATTAAATAATACCCTTTAATTAAAATATTAATTTAATGTTCTGTAAACTAAAAGGTGTATACAGTTTAGCTTAATATGTAATATTATTAAAAATGTTTATTAAAAAGTATACCTGTTAAGTTTTGCAATAAATATACAATTTTTTAAATAAATAACTTTAAATTGTTCACCACAGTCGTTAAGCAAGTATTATAAAAAATTAGTAAGACTTGCGTAGTTAAATGTAAAATTAAATGTCCTTGCTTTTATAGTTTGAAAGACAAATATTAAATCATTTTTAAATATTTTTGTTATATTTGATTGTTCGTTTAACTAGAAGATAAATAAGCTAAAATTAAAGATGCATTATCATAAATGTACCAAACTTAAATAGAATGCCAAATGTTTTTGGAGGCAACTTTGATTAATTTTCATTAGTTAGGAATGTTTTTGAAAAGAGTTTTATCTCTCCATTGCGGACAAAGCTAGTTAAACGTTTGGTGACTTTAATTAAGACTTTATTGAAGACAAAATGACAATATTTAGCGAAACAGAAAAAAACCTTTTATCCACCTGTTACATACTATGCCACGAACTCGAAGCACTCATTCCGCCCTCAACTACTGGATGTAAATAGCGTAGCATGCTTTCAGGCGCCGGCCATCAGTGCCGTAGAAAGCCACAATAATTTACACGTGCTCGATGGTCGCAGAGGGGGAGAGGGAGAAAGAATGAGAGGAGGCGTGTGCGTGGGAGCGGGATGGGAAGTTTTGGCAACCGCATCATCTGGGATAAACTAAGTCCGGGGGATGGAAGGTTGAAAGGGCATTAATTATGATGGAAAATTAAAATATTCAACTTATTTGATTCCCGAGCGGTGGAGTCGGGAAAGGGAATAGCACTTTCTTGGCACCCCAGAAAAGGAACTATGCCCTTCTGGCACCCCCACGTTCTATATCTTTGTCTATGGCCGCGTCAGCTGTTTGTGTAATTAGAGGTTTTATGAGTTATGTTCGTGTGCGTGAGTGCCCCAAAAGTGGGGAAAGGCAACGCAGGGGTAAACGAAATGTGGGGTGCACGCAGCCCCTCGCCCTTGTCGCGGTTAATTAATTTCAAGTTTAGTTTCAGTTCTCTTCAAGTTGTTGTTGTTGTTTGCCCCGGTTTTTGGCACAAAGCTGCCAGGTAGAAAGTTTCAAAGTCAATTTAATGCTTCGCCAATGATGAGAGGCAGCCGTCGTACACAATGAGCCTTGAAATTGAAAGAGTATGAGCCCTCAACCCACCTCATTTTCGGGCCCAACACTATCCGCTAGATTTTCCATATAACCCCGTTTTCCGATAAACTTGCCGCCGCATAGGCGCGACAAAAAACGGCGCAAAAAAAATTGGAATCCCGCAAAGAATCTGGCTTTAGCTGCGGCTCCCTTGTGGCCTGAGCCCTGCACATCTGGTGGCTGCATTTTTTAGCACACTCCACAAGGCCTCAAATTACCTGCTGCCCCCGATGTGTGCCACAAGTGCCTCACTATATCCGCTTTGAGGTTTCAACTTTTTGCGGTCGTCGGTTCATAATTGAACCCTTTGGTGGGCACTCACACACATTGGCCCGGCAGGAGATTGCTGCACAAATTTGCTTTAGCCAGCTGCAAATTATGCTCAAGGGAATCCACTCAGCGGCTTAGTTGCCAGGGATTTAAACAATATAAGCCCTTATGCACACGTGAAAAATTTACCAGCTTCCCTTTATGTAGCGCCATTTTTATTACTTTTTTGAAGCCACGCTTAACTATTTATTTGAATTTATATTTAAAAATAAATTTTTTAAATTTAATTCAGTCAAACACTCAAAAAAGTGCTCACCGACGAAAGAATTTAACAGATATCTATCTAATTGATCAAACATTTCTAAGGACGTGTTTTTTATTAAAAAAACATTTTATAATAAATTAACATAGGATTTGTAAATAGCTTTTATAATCGGTTCCTCGATTTAACATGCTTTCGGTTTGTAAACGATATTGCTTATATTTTGCACTGTGTCAAAACTCAAACTTTGATTGACTGCGTAATGTTCGTTGAGCTAGCTAATCAAGCGGATAAGTGCGATTCGAAAGCCAATCAAAGTAAAACTGCATGTAAAATGAGCTTTCAGCATAGAATTTAGAGTGTTTTCGATATTAGAACGCCAACTGACAGGCTGACAGAATGGCAGACGCACTCGGGAGCCTCTGTTCGCTTTTGGCCTTTGCCCTGCTGCCATCTATCCATTCATTCGTTCATTCATTCATTCATCTGCTAACATGGCGATAAACATACACATTCAATACCCAGACACCCACACACACACCGACACCCTTTCGCACAGACTCACACATTCGTATGGACGCTGCAAATATTGCCATTGAGCGAACGTCAAAAGTCATTTCGACAAAATACTGCTGCATACTTTGGGGCGCTGCCTTTCGAGTGAGGTTATTGGCGCCTCTTCTCCTTTTTTTGAGAGCGCATTTCGCTGAAGTGGGTGGTGGAGTCAAGGCTTTTGTTAGCACAAAGCCAAAACAACAAGTGCTATGTAATTACAACAACAATAACAACGACCCCACAAGCAACAAGGGAAATGCAAAAGTGCACTGGAGAGAGAACCCAAGCCGAAGAGAAAGGAGCTTATTTGTTGTTTCGGAAGCTGGAAATGGGCTCGTGAGCACTCACGAAACACAAAATATAATCGGATTTGTTATTATTTTTGAAGAATTTTGCATGTCCCTAAATATATTTTACAGTAGGATTTATTCAAAAGCATTAAGCAACATACCTATAAAATAACATACGCGTAAACTTAAACTAAACGAAATATTTTCAATGGAATTTATTCTTTCGTTTTTTTTTATGATAATAAGGCACATATTAGTTGTCGTGAAAATAAAACTGTTTTTACTGCTGGCATGATTGAAATATAAAATAAAATGTTTCAGATAAAATTTTGTGTTAATTTTGTTTATGTTGTAAATAATGAGGTTGACCTAACTTTGTGATGATATTAGTACGAGCTCTACTCACAATTTAACTTTGTTGTAAGAACTCAATACTCCAAGATTGCGATACATTAATAAGGAAAAGAAGACTACTAACTATGGCTCTTAGTAAAGGCAAATCAGTTAAAAAACTTAATTAAACAAAATAATTTGGCGCTTAATGCTTGTAAAATTAAATTTGAACTGGGATTTTTAATTTAGTAGGAAAACTAATAATCTTAAATTCTATACATAAGAACTTAAAAACAAGATTTGGATAAAACTAGAAGGCTTTCAAATACAAATTTAAAAGCCTTTTATCTCATTAATTTAGCTGATTTACACAATTAACATTTATGGTTTAGCATAAGCAAATCTCAATTATATGAAGGTTAAACGCAGCAAGATTCGTGACCCTTGTACCCGAAAAAACAGCCACGAACTCATCCCCAGCCGCCTGTTGCCCCTCAACTGGGTCAGACATCGCATCGATAATGAGCCTGCCAATTCTGCCACTGGAGATGGATATGGCGAGCGGATGAGGACGAGGATGACAACGATTATGAGGAGAAGCATAGTAGAGAATAGAGATGCGGATGCTGATGATGGCGGCGATGATGATGAGGATGATGTGCAGCTGACATTATAAACAATTTCGCAGCCATTGGCGCAGTTTAATTAAAATGGCGACCAAAAATATTCAACTATAATCTATTGCAGGCAGTAAAGAGAGAGACTGGAGTAAATTTCATGGTGTAAAAAGGAAATGGCACAGCAAACAAAGGCAAAGACAATGGCCACGGCCAGGAAAACCCAACCGAGACTGCCAGGATATGGGTGTAGGATGCGGATGAGGGGAACAGGAGCCGAGGGGCCACTGAGACAGAAATTAAATTGGAAATGTTGTACTACGTGCAGCAGACAGGCTAAAAGGAAATACACCAAAGGCATCCTGCAATGCAAAACAAAAAATGGGCTGGCCTCGGTGTGAGTGGTCTGCCACTGTGTCTGTGACTCGGCCTGCATCTGTGTGGGTGTGCAACAACAAGTGGCTAGGACACGGCGAGCGGAAGCTGTTGCTGCAGGATGCAGGACCCTGTGCTATTATACAAATGGAGGCGGCCTCTTATAAGTTGGAAATTGTCTCAGATTTAGCAGGAAGAAAAACGAGGAAAAGAAAAAAAAAATGCAGCAGCAAAGCAGAGGGCGGGAAAAGCCAAAGGAGGATAAGGGCAACTGCAATTTTTGCAGGAAACGAAGGACGAATGCCCTCGAAAGGATTCTCTATTGAGAGAAATTTAATAAACAATAATTCTGCGAACAAATCCGCACTTCTGTCAATGGCAAATAAAGCTGGTGGAAAGCCCAGAGTGTAAATATAAATTCCAGATCTTATTGCCAAGTCGCATCTGCGTAAGTCCAATTCAAAGTTGTTAAACTTTGCATGGCAGTCAGAAAGAGAGTACTACCATCTTTCAAAGCGACCGACAAAACAATGTAAGATGGGAGATGGAAATGGAAATGGAGATTCCGAGAAGCCAAGGGAACCAGGCTATCCAAGGGACACTCGGGAAAAGGAGCCACAGCAAAGGAAAGGCTTCCTAACTGAGGCAACATTATTTAGGTTTAATCAGCAAAGCAGATTTGCATACGACAGTTCGGCTGCAATGAAATAAACCAACTGGAATTCAATGGGGGTTGTTTTAGAGATATCCAGAGCACTGGGCTGAATGCGGAAAATACATCAAACAACTGAAGGGAATAGGGTCGGAACAGAGGACAGTGTGGAAAACTATTATAAGCTCTTGACAACTGGGGAAATGGACTTTTCAGCCGAACTGTCACATGCCCAGCCAACTCGGCTTAAAATCCACGAATTAACAGCTTGATCCATTTTGATAGAAGTTTCCTTATTAAGCTGAATTTCATTTTCACATAGAAAAACAACGCATCCACGCCAATCTGCCGTAACAATTTAAGTGGAAAACTCGTTGCATTTTTAATTGATGCTGAACCAGCAAATTTCAATTCGTAATTTCCTCTCAACTCGAATTTGTTTCATCCACTTTTTAGTGGTGCCAATGTTTCGCCTACTTTTTTAGTAGGTCCAGTTTTCTGTTCCCCGCCGTAAATTAAAATAAAATTAAGCAACTTTTGGCACTGTACTGCGACAGGAACCGGGTTACAACTATAAAAAAAATCGCATTTGAAAGGCTACAAAATGCATCGTGTTCCGCAACCGTTGAAAAAGTTGTTGACATACAAAAAACGAAGTAAATAAAACACATTTTTTGGTCAGCAATGTGTGTGGCAAAAATTTCACAAAACGGTTAAAAAGTAACAGTCAAAATGCAGCTGATGGTAAGGAATTTAAAAAACGTCTTTATACCCCATCCGTAACTCTACTTTCCGTTGGACGGAAAATTGCTTTCGGAGATTTTTATTGGATTTTCGTGTGTAATATGAAATTCATAACAACCAACAACGAATGGTCAGCATCAGCTTCAGAGGAGGGGAAGATTGGACGACAGACAGTCGACTCCAATTGCGTTTGGCGACTATTTGCAGTTTTTCATGCTGCAGCTGCCTTGATGCCATTTTAAATTTTTCAGCTAGTTTACTTCTTTTTTCAGTTCCGACAACGCTGAGCTCGACACTATTTGATTGCTGGCTGGCCGAGGCGTCACTCTGACAAGTTGCAAGTTTTTCCATTGCCCTAACGAATCTCAGATATAAGGATATCAACGACTTGCTACAGTTGGAATCTCATAAAATTCAAGGTAAAGATAATAATACAAGAAATAGTGCAATTTTTAGATTATTTTCAAAAGTTCGTTGGCAAATAATTAAAATTAAATTTAAATCATTAAATTTATGAAATACTCGTTATTTTTTTTAACGTTTCAGAAAAATATTATAGATACAGAAGAAATAATACTAAATAATAATTTATACCTTTAATTCGCATCACATTTATTCACTATCGTATTTTTTTCAAGTAAGTGCACTTAATTGGAAATACTTTCCATTTATACCCCTTTTTACACCGCTTTTACTACCTCTTTTGAGTACCTTCCTAGTTTTTATTCTTCACATCTTCGTTTTATCCTGTAATATATCCTTCTTCCACACGTTAACCATGTAAGGGTATTCCCTTTTTCAGTTTTAAATGAACTCCTTTCAGTGATCTATATATAGTTTATACGAGTATGTATGGATATGTGTCAGTTCAGTCGACTTGTCTACTCTGAAAATTGTGTGGAAATTTAATTTCTGCATTTGCTAATTCGCTGAATTTATTGTCCGTTCTATTCCATTCCGTTTCGTTTCACTCGCAAATTGTTTCCCCAATTCCACTTACCCAGCAATTTTGTCGAAATGAAGCTGAATGCTGCTGTCCAAGAAGTTGCTGCTGGGATGCTGATGTTGCTGCTCCTGCTTTGGTTGTTGGTCTTCTGGTTGATTTTGTTGCTGTTTCCCCTAGAGTTGTTGTTGATTTTCCCAGTGGTCGTTGTTGCTGGTCTTCTTGTTGCTGCAGCTGCAAACAATCGGCGACCTTTTTGTTTTGGCAATGGAACAAACACAACAAAATTGTTGATGAATGTTCCATAATTAATATGAAAATTAAATTTTGCTCGCTTTTTGTTCGCCTTCGAGTGGTGTTAAGCTATTTTATTTTTAGGTTTATTGGTTAGATTTATTTTAGTTTATTTGCTTAGGTTGGGTGCATTTAATTATTGGCATTTAAGTTGGGATTGCTGTTGCAGTACTGCTTGCAGTTGTTATTGTTGATGAGTTGATGGCAGTTGCAAATTGATGAAAAAATTGCTTGATTGGTTGTTGCTGGACTGATTGATGTATTGATTCTGGGTTTTGGATTGGAATTTAGCTGGCATGTTTCCTACTTCGTCTCATTCGCTCAGCAGATGCAAAGATACGGATACAGATGCGGATGCGGGTACGGGTGCAGATGCAGATACAGATACGTATGCAGAAACATGGATGCGAGAGTAGAGATTCAAGTGAGTTTGGTTTCGATTTAGCATAATGCGTTACTTTAAGCCTCTGTTTTTATCTTTAATCTCCGTTTTTTAATAGTTATGAACACATTGTTGCTGTTGTTATTTGTTTTTGTTTTTCCTCGTGCTTTTTAATTTGCATTCATTTATTTTTGTTTAACATTTTCTGAGTGTTTTTTATTTAATATTTGCATATTGCCTTTATGTGGTGAATGTAACGAAAAAACTTTTATTTAAATTGGATTTTTATCTGTATGGCGGGTCAGAAAGAGATAGAAAAACGAGAGAGAAAGAGAGGTAGAAAGTGATGTGAATATTTACGTAGTTAAATGTTTATTGATAATAACTATGGGAGGAATATGAATTTTCGTTTCATTTACTGCAAGTCAATCAATGGTATGAGCGGAGCCAGCTTTCCACTTTATCCACTCGCTCTTGAGCGCCAAGTATTTTTATTAATTTTCCCCCAAGTCTCCTAAAATACTAGACTACTTAAACGGGATTCACAATCTGCTTAATCGAATAGATTTGTATCTTCTCCAATGCCTGTTGCATGGAAATCAGTGGAAAAGAGTGGAGAATTTCTGTTCGAAATAACCAGTAATAAATATTTTCCCATGCTCAAAACTGTCACAGGCCATAAAAATTCAATTCGATTCAGAACTGGAGAAATAAGAAATAACAATTGCCTCGGTCACGCCCCTCTGGACAATAATAGCGCGCCACTTCCTGATATTCCCCACCATTGCGATTCATACGACATTTGCCCACTCCATTTCAAATGCCCATCACGTGCCACAATTTACGGTCAAAGTTTCGAGGGTCGCAACACTCGCAAAACTGTTGCGACTGCCAACTAAACATTAGTTTAATGTGAGTATCTTCCTGCACCTCCCGCCCCTCAGGACCTCTTCTGGACCCCTTCGATAACTATAAGTACTCGTGTTTGGATAGCCGAGCGCACAAAGTTTGACAAAAGTCACTTAAGACCGCCGCAGCAGCCATTTCGAATATCCGTTATGAGAACACTGGGCAAACTAAAAAATTGAAATGAAAAGAAAAGAAAGCAACTTAAATAAAAGGAGTAGAGATGGGGAAAGCCAGTAAGGAAGAGTGAACGAATAAAGAAGAGTTTCAACTGAAGCTACTCGAATGATAAAAGTCCCTTGAGTTATTTTCCAAGCAAAAGTTTGTTTTCTTTTTTTACTTTGCCCATAAATCAATCAGTTATCGATGGCCTGGAAATTAGATAACTTCGGATTTTGAGAAATATATGTATCAGAGCTTCGCTGTGAATTCCAATTTAAAGAACATTTTCCTTAAGGGAGGATAGTTTTTAGTGAAATTTTAAATTGATAGTTTTTAAAATGTTCATCGAAAATAGTATTTTTTTTTAAATAATTTTATAGATTAGAAATAGGTAAATTTAGTAACATAAAACGTCTGGCTCTCCACTTTAGTAACTTGCCAAAACGACCCCTAATCCCTGTTAACCGTTTTCACTTTCGCCACTTCTCTGTTTCTCTCATAAAATACACCTCAGAGCTCCGAATCGTTCTCGGCGAGTTCCATCAACTTAATCTACCCGAATAATACCCTGGGGATGGGGGACTGGTAAAAATGATAAAAAGAGTTGAGCTACTGACCAAGAGACACCAAAATAAGCAACAGCAACCGAAAAAAAAATCCCAGTCACTCAGCTAGTTGGGCCTTTGTTGTTGGTTATCCTGTCCGTCCAGGTTTTGTTGTTGTTGATGCTTTTTGTGCCTGTTGTTGGTAGACAACGTTGTTATTTATGACAATTTCATTGTCTTGTCCACTTGCTGCCCTTTTTATTTCCGTCTTTGCCTTTTGCTTATTTACTACCACCCACACACTCGCACACACACACACACTCAGGAAGCTCACACAGACAGTGAGGAGTGAGTGAGAGGGAGTTAGAGAGAGCGAGCTCGCTTTTGTGTAGCACACTTTTGTGCGCGCGGCGTTATCAAACGTTTTCCGCGCTGTTACTCTTAGGAATCGGTGTATTTTTTTTGTGCCAGGACATCTTTTTAAACAGCTCTATCCGTGGAGTGAGTGTGTGTGTGTGTGTGCGGCTGTTATCAGTGGCACAGAACTCATCGGTTCATTGATGGAACGTTTGAGTGAGTTTCCCCGAATCTCGGTTTGAGCCAAAGAGAAAGTGAGAGAGACAGAGAGTGGAATTGGAAAAGGACTCGGCAAACTCAACTTCTGTTTACACTTGGAAGAGCCAAACAGAGTCCTGCCAATTGTTGCAAGCCCTTTGTTGTTGTCTTGCGGGTGAAAGCTTGCTGAAAACCCCTACATACAATACACGCACACCAATATTTATGTATAACCAATTCGAGTTCCTTTCCTTTTTTTTTGGCAGTATTTGTTCAAAAATTTATGAAGCTTCTGCTCGGGCAAAAGTGGCTTAGGAATTTATTTAATTAACCCCAGACTGCCAAGAAAAAGCACCAGCAAGAGCAGCTTTTCCCCTTTTTTTTTTCTGTATGACAGCAAAATTGTCCTTTAAGTGTTTTATGAGTGCGGCATGATTTCAAATGATTTCTATTTCTGTGCTGTGTCTGCCCGTTTTTTTTTTGTTGTTACGTGCTCCAATTCCCACGCACACATACACACAAGTAAAAAGGAATAAAAAAGTTGATATTTTTCAATTAGTGTTCTGTTAAAATACTTCGTTGATTAAAAAGAATATTAAAGGAATATAAACGATTAAAATATATTTTAACTCCTACTTTTAGATATTCAATATAAAATCAGCAGTGCGTTCTGGAATCTTATTATATTAGGCTAAACATTTTTTTTCTGTGTACGTACTCGTACATACGCAAACGAAACAAAAGCTGGTAAAAAAGGGGGGAAAGAGGAATGCCAGGGGAGAAGCAAAGTAAACTTGCAACTTGTTTGCGCTTTCCGTTCTACCATTGTTACTGTGGTTGTTTTTGCCGACTGCCTGCTGATTAGAAATGCTTTTGATGTACGTATGATGAAAATCTGCGGCTTTTCCACTGCGGCAAGTGCAGCAACCTGATTCAGACGTAATGAGCAATTAAAAAACTTTCCGCCTTTGTTTGTCAATTGAAACTTGGACAACGGGTGAAATTTCCGTGATCTAAGGTTAGGATTAAAATAATTGCTTTTATATTTGCATAGTAAATTTTTTTTCCGTACTTGCAGCATACGTGAAAGTTCTAACGTAAGTTTTTAACTTATTAAGAGTTTTAACTTGACACAATAAAAGAACGTCATGTTCGTTTTAAAACGAAATAACACTTTCATTTAAAAGTGTTGTCAATAGTCTCCGAAAGTTTATTTTTGTTTCAAAAAATTAAGTGTAACTTTGAAAATTTAAAAATCTTTAATTTATTAAATTCATTAACCTGACCAACTTTTTACGACCCTATACTAAAAAACGTATATTGATAGGCGTAATCTTTGCACAAATAATTTTGCTGAACATAGAATTTTGATGCAGAATATTGGGTGTGAATATATTTCTGACGATTAAAAATTGGCGAAGCTTCGCGAAACTACATTCTAAAGAAATTTAATGTTATTGAAACTGGTGGCAATTTATTACTATTTCTCCAAGTAGATGCAAATATAAACTTAATCTATAAGGAGTTTATAGAAGTGGTATAATTCTGTTTTTAGAGCTTATAAGATCCAGATGTGCATTTTGACGGTCAGTCCATTCGGAAACTGCTCGAACGACTTGCCTGTTGATGCTCTGTATATATATACTTTATAGGGTTGAAACTTTTTACGAATTCAAATTGTATACTATTTTTCTTTACGAGTAACGGTTATAAAAAGTTTATTATTCTGCCTGCAAGAAAATTTGTATATACATCCTCTGTATTTTATGAGCTTTAGCTAAACTTAAGCTAGAGAAATAAAGCTACAATTGCATTCCTACGCAATATTACATTTAATAAATAACTTGAGAGTTTTCAGCAGTTGCATTCGTAAAAAAGGAATTACCCGTCCGGAAGTTGTTCATATTGTGCCGCATCATTTTCACTGAAGTACTAAACAATTTCAACTTTGCACCTCCAGGTACTCCCCTGCCCGTCCATAAACTATTTGCTCCAGCTACAACATTTTCGACTTTTGCTAATTGCTCAAACTCCACATTTCAGGCTAATAAAAAGCGAAACAGCAATGCCTTGCTTATACCTTTATTTCTGTATTTTATGCATAATAACTTTTCTTTTAAGGATAAGTTTCTGGCACGGGAGCAAGGTTACCCCACTCCTCAATGTGATGAGGTTTATACTTTGTGCATTCCCTCGTGGCTTCGTATAGTGTTTTTTGTGCGATTCCTGTGAGACTGTAAGACTGTGAGCGTGGCCTTCATCCCCAACTGCCTGTCTGTCTGTCTGTCTGTCTGTCCAACAGCCTACCCCACTTTTCCTTCCCTTATCCAGTGCATGTGTTAAACCAAAAAGTTGTAAATCTTCCAACTTACGTTTAGTGCAACAAAGTCGCGCTTTCGTATGATGAACATAAAAGTGTGAGCAACAAAAAACTTTACCCACACATGCACACAGCCGAAGTGAGCGGGGCGGAGAAAGTGAGAGAGGACGAGGGAGAGAGAAGGATGGGTAACGGTTAAGTTGGAGCGGAGGCAAAGCGCCGAGCTCGACAGAATTCCATGCTGGCGACGAAGATGTTGTTAAAATAAAATAGAAACGAAGGCAAACGCAGGACGAGCAATAAAAAGTGCGTAAGGAGAAAAATAGAAAATGACAGAGAGCGGAAAAGAGGGGTGGGGGGGTGGTTGGAGAAAGGGGGCAAGGGCAAAGGGCAGCAGGCAGCAGCAACGATGACGATGTCGAAATTAATACGAAGGAATCACATTAAAACTTCCACAAGGATCCAGAAACAAGGAGCAAGGACTCCGGACTCCTTGAAGCTCTCGCCTGACGAAGCTTTCGGTTGGGTTAAAGACGAAACATATTGTGCGTAGACGCCAGTAAAAGGGACGAACAGGACGACTCACCAATACACACAAACACCAACACAGACAACGTGTTTAGGTTTAAGTGCTTCGGTGCAGGTTGATGACGGGGGTTGGATTCGGGTTTTTGGATTCTCGCAGACAGATAGACACGCACACAAACACCCCAACACACCCACACACCCACGTGTATACACACGCAAAGTGGAGCAATTTCGACAACTCCATTTGCGTATGTATTTGCTTTCCATTTATTTGTGTCTGTGTGTCTTTAGCGTTTAGAATAAAGGCAGATCCATACATACACACACACCGTTTTTCCATTTCAGCTCTTTATTATGTCTACTCCAATGCTAAATCGAACAGGACGAAAGGGAAAAAGCAGAAACTTAAGCCAGAAGCCAACTAGAAAAGGACAATAAGATTCGAAACAGTCCAAAACGAAATCATTATAAACAATCCTGTCCAGCCACTTCAACTCTATCAATAAATTTCCTGTTTTAACACCCACATAAAATCCAATCGTAACATAAAGTTTTTATTTAATTACATTAGTTTTAAAGCCACTTAGAATTCAAAATATATTAAAATTAAAACAATTTAAATCTGTTCATTTAATAAGGTCAAAGACAACAATCATTAATTTATAAACATTTAAAAATAAAATGTATAAGTCGGTTTCATTTTGCTTTTTAACAATGTTTCGAACGGGGATTTCTTTATTTCATTTATCAATCAATTAAATCTTTTTATTTATTAACAGCAGCCCTGAAGTAAAAACATCGATCGAAAAAGAGCAATGGCACACTTGAAAGAAATAACTATTTTCCACAAATACTCCAATTTTGTATAATAGTTTTCTGTGAATCGAGAATTTTGCCTGAAGCTAGTTAAGGTGCACATTTTATAACGATTTATCACAAAAGGTCGCAAAAAAATTAAAACATCTTTATATATGAAAAGAACTATAGAGCAAGGATATTGCCCTATACGTATAATTTTGTTGTTGCCCCAATAAAATTGTACGCATGAATTTAAATCAAACATTTGCAAGCATAGTTGGATTACAAAAAAACACAATTTTTAAAAATTGTATTACATTTAGTTCATAGAAAAACTTATTTCACTTAAAAACTTTTCACCATTTATTACAAAGTTTTGTTTATAAAATTTGTAAATAATTATTGAATAAAAGATATTGTCTCTTTTTTTAATTTTAAAAACTTCATCTACGTAAATATTATATTTATGAAGTTACCCTTATTCGATAACTCAATCCACATCAAGACTTAACGCGCAAGGCATACATTGTCGGTTTATGCAATTCACTACTTCAGAAACAAACGTGATTACGTTAATTTGCCATGGGCGTATATTAAATAAGGTAAATGACTAAATGACTTATGTGAATTGACTTATTGGCTCATGACTTGAGAAAATGAAACGAGTCTGTTTGATCACGAATCGAACAATAAAATTGTTTAAATTTATTTATATTACAAAAACTAATAATTAAAGCTACTTAAGATGCTGAAAAAATGCATAACTTAAAGTTTGTTTAAATACATTAAAAGAAAATTGTTCTTTTGTAATACCTTCAAAGTCTATAAATACAAAAAGGCATAGTCAGTGCCCCTTGGAAAATGTTCTTGTGCTGTTTTATATGAGACCCTTAAAGGTCTTAAAGCAGTAAGCCCCTGGGTGGCCGCCTTTTCCCGCTTTAGGCGCCATTCGAGCTCCCTCATTCGTCTCATGTTTCCGAGTGCCACCATCTCATACGGTTCCATCTCATATGGCACCACGCGCTCCCCAGAAACCCCCTCCCCGTCCATCATCCAAACTATTGATGGGCTGCGGCCCAATTTTTAAACTACATGCCCTAAAATGTGAACTAGGCGTAGTCAAGCAAAATGATTGATGAAAAATCTGCGTGTGTACACAACTTGCCACTCAACACGAGACACACAGCCACACACAGCCACATGCGAATATTCGCATGTGCACACTCACACAGAGGCGCACATATACATGACCACTTACGCCCACTTAGACACGCCGCGTTCTGGTTGCTTTTTCAATTCTTTTTTTTTTTTGTGTGTTTTCCTTATATGTGTGGCTGCTGCTTTCGCCAGTTGTTAGTTTGGCAGAAAAGTTTTCTTCCCTTTTGCCAAATTGAATGATAAGGAGGCGAAAGACGAAGAAGGAAGGCGACATGAAGGATGTGGAAGGAAATGACTAAAAAAAAAGTTTTTCTTTTGGCCAACTGATTGATAACAGTGCAAATGTTAATTGCATAAGGAGAGCCCGGAAAGTTCGGGGAAAACCAGAACCGAAAACCGCAAAACTGCAATTTCGTATGAGAGCACTGGCAACAATCTCGGCACAATGGATTCGCCATTTAAGTTGTGTACAATTAAATTTTAATTATCGCAGCAACAGCGCATCCGGATACAATCAAAGGCCCACCCCAAACCCCTTCAAACAATCAGCCACAAAAATGTGCGTTTTAAATCGCAATGAAAGCGCGCTTAAGTCGCGCTGATTTCGATTCCAATAAAACAATCAGTCAGAGCTCAACCCAAAAAGGGAGGAAAAAAGCGAAGAAAAAATGTGCAAGCGAGTGGAACTAAAGGGGAAGAAGGAAATCGCCTGGGATTTCCCTCCGCCAGCCTGGGAAAATTGCTACGATTCGTGGAGATAACTGTCAGAAGCAACAGTTTATAAGCCAAATACGACCCCGAAAACTGAACTGCACTTCGTTGGCCGATTGGGTAATTCGCTGGGAAACTTGATGTTATTTTTCTTGCGTATGTTTATACAATTTTATCACTCTTCAAATTCAGTTATTTTCTTTGTGGCTTACCACAAATAAAACTAAATTTAAATTGAATTGTTTTTGCAGCTAAACCAAATCCCGAAATAAACTCTTTGGCCCAGGCAAACGAAAATATCTCGGGAAATAACAAAACCAAGTTGTGTAAAATAAATTTCCAGCCAGTTTGTGGTGTTTTATGTGGAATTTTGCCAGCATATTTCAGTGCGAACTGCTCACTAGATGCTTGTTAAATAATTTTAATTTTCCGTTCTCCTTGCAAAAAGCCAACAATTCCCCAGTCGCAGGACATGCAGCAGGCGCAACAATTACACGAAATGTTGAGTGGGAAAAATCGTAGCATACTTTTAAGCTGTTGCACCAGAGCGAGTGCATTGGTTTGTGGGAAAGTGGGAAAGCGGAAAAGCTGGGAGGAGTAATGCAGGAGGAAGCAACAATTTTGCTGGTTCTGTTTACCTTGGTTCGTTTAAGCAAACATTTTTAATTGGCTATTATTGAATGCAATTTTTAGTGGTCGTTTGTATAATTTTTTCTTTTCTTTTTTTTTTGGTTAATAATTTGTATATTTTGTGAACACACTCGAGCTGAAGTTTTGGAAACGAACACACACACGCACAGACACTTACACACACTTGTATGCGCGGGAGCTGCCACAGAGGGAGTGATTTAAGTATTTTGGGAGTTTCTTCACGCACTAGCCAAAAAGTTTCTTCCAACTCGATTCGATTTGGTTAGCTGACTTTGATTCGGGGCTTCCCCGCTTAATTTTCCCACTCTGCACAGGCAGCTGAACTAACGGTACACACACGCCAAGGTAGGCGAATGGCGGCAACTCGGAGAAAGTGCGTCCTGTCTGGTTGTACCCTAACGACTTAATGCGCTCAACGCAGCTTTTCACACGGCCATGGACCACGAACCACGCAGCATCCACAGTGGCTCAATCCGAAACGGAAAACGGAAAACGAAGCTTCCAGCCGAGTGGTGCCGAGCGTTCGAGTGAGTTATCCTTCTCCGTCCGAGTGAGATATCCATAACCGTGGACTCGGGGGCCTGTGTATGCCCTGGTCCGTGCCACTCAATCCCGAGCCCAACGACTCGAGTGAAAGCTGCGCTGGAATGTTTACAGTCGAGTAACGAGCAACAGCAACAGCAACGACGACGCCAACTGCGGCAGCGTGAGTGGGCGGCAATGTCGCTGGTCAATGTCTCTATACCTGAAAAAATAATGGGCCTGGACAGGGACACAGCATCAGGCACTCAAAAAATTATCATGCCATATTCGGGGGTACCCGAGATACCTCTGCAGACTCAAAATCACATAAACAGGTGTTCGCAAACAAGCTAAGAATTAAGAATTTCGACAGATAAATCCAACATTGATTTTTTTGACTCAGATTTCAAGAGAATTCGGTGATTAAATAAAGTTTAGAAAAATGCAACATATTCATTTAAGTCAAAATAACAACAACAGTATATCGTTGAGGTATACATCTTGTCATTACCAATTTTCTCTCCTCTGTTTTAGAAAATACATTTTTTTGGAACTTGGAAGGTTATACTAGAGAAATGTTTTAAAACAATTTCTTTTTTTCGCATAAAAGATTCTCGCTTATACTTTATAATGTTTTGTTTTTACCCAGATGGCGTTTATTTAAACAAAGTTCTAACTGTCAAACGTTGCGTATGAGTAATTTGTAATGAAAACTGAAAGATCATCGTGTAACTCCTGAAACTTAAAAGCAAATTTATTTTTTATTTTTGTGTAATACAATTCTTATTAATAACATACAACTTGTGTGCTGCAGAAAACGAAAAAAATACTCCGCCATTAGGTAATAAAATATACATTTTGAGCCATAAAATCATATAATTGGCTATTCAGTTTACAATATTTTTTGCCTTCTGTTTCAGTGTGGAATTCCGAGCTGACGAACCCTAATTAATGAGCGACAAGTGTGCGAAACCCTGGGCTTTTAGAAGCTGTAGCTCGGATGAAACGGTAGTTGATGACTGGCTAATATTTTAGTAAAGACGAGAGACAGCGTCAGCTGCGCCGATTTATCAAGACACACGCGGAAATCAAAGAAAATAAAGCCACATCGGGTTGCCATGAAGGAATCCACCAACAAATACACACTTATCATTTTTATCATCCCAGTTGACCTTGATAAAATAGCCGAATGTCCATTGCCATAAGCCCCCAATTGCCCTACTCTGCAGAGATTATAGCAGACGAGCTTACGAGCATGAATTATAGAAACCAATAAAATTAAGTGCATTAATTTATTTTGTTGTTCTTGCTAGAATACAAAATGGAACTTGGCACTGCCAAAGCCAAGGGCAAAATAATCAAATATAACAAAAACGATAACAGGATTATATTTGATGCATGCTGCACACATTTATAAGGATGCACATGCATACAAAAGCCCCTGGCAGGATACAATTTTGTAGGACTATTTGGGTATGAGTGTGAGAGCAATCACAATTAAATGCACAGCAGACTTTCTTTAATTTTATTAATTGGGGTTTAAACGGATTAACCAATATATGAACAATTACTGAACTCGCGTCCGTAACCTGTTTTTATATAGAAATGAAAACGTATAAATTAGATGTCATTCATCTGGGTTAAATCATTTAATGCAAATATAAATAAATAAATGTATATGGTGATATATAGATAAATTTGATTTTTTGCGAGCCTTGATTGGACACAAATTTTATTCACCAAATCATAATTAGGTAAAGCTTAATTAAATACTTAAAATATGATTTTATATAGTATTCTCCGTCGTCAAGTGATATATATTTTATATGGTAAAAAAATTCTTGATAATATTACAAAACCATATAAAATTTTTTATACATTGCGAATATTTTGTTATGGTGCAGAGATGATCCTTTTAGAAAAAAGTAGTACTAGGAGATAATTTACGGGGTTTTTAGTCCTTTTTGATTTTTTAAGATGAAAAGAATCAACTATGAAATGTCCTTTCTTTTGTGATTGCTTACAAAATTTATATCGTTTTTATTGAACCAACCAATAACGGTAAACTTTATATACAGAGTTTTTTATTTACGAGAACCGGAGACAAACGTTTTCTGGTTCAATCCTAAGTATACAGCGCTAATACCTCTCGAGAGCTCGAGATAGAAAGATATATCTGTGAGATAGATCAGTAGGTAACGGCTTAAGAGGGGATTGGGTCTTTGATTTTTGTGTGTATCCAATTTCACTACCACGATTTGTTTTACAAGATAGATTCATTCGATAAATTAAGGAAAATCCCCTGTCTGGTATTTTGGCAGCGACTCTTGAAAGGTCCCACTAGCGTATGTTTTAACCGTCTAGCAACGGTCACTTTGTCATCAAATCGTGCGAATTAAACAGCGAAAAATGCCGGAAGAAAATAAAATCGACTTGTCCGGGGACGGCGGCGTGCTCAAGGAGATCCTGCAGGAGGGCAAGGGCACAGAGACACCGCACAGCGGATGCACGGTGTCCCTGCACTATACAGGTCGCCTGGTCGATGGCACGGAATTTGATTCCAGCGTCGGCCGAAACGAGCCCTTCGAATTTCCGCTTGGCAAAGGTGAGTGCTCTACAATTGCCCGAAATTTCGATGTAGTTCCATTTTTTCCGTGCTCCTCTAGGCAATGTGATCAAGGCATTTGACATGGGGGTGGCCACCATGAAGCTCGGCGAGCGCTGCTTCCTCACATGTGCTCCCAATTACGCTTACGGCGCTGCCGGCAGTCCGCCCGCTATCCCGCCGGATGCTACTTTGATTTTTGAGGTAGGTTTTACGATATCTCTATTCCTTTCATTGAAAAAAGGGTATATTTTATTAGACCAAATTTACAGCGAAGAATATTCGAAAAATTTGGGTACCGTTTGTATTTTTGGGATTGCATGATTTTAAGTTTTTAAAATACGATTATATAGTCAAACATGTCTAGAACATTCTCATAAAACTCAGAATTAGAAACAAAGTGCTTGGAAAAACTCTGGTTTTAAATCCGATAAACATATCAAATAATTTTAAACTGAATTGAAAAAAAAACACTTAAAAACATAATAAATGGTACTAGGATTGGAATTAATTTTTATTAGAACTAATTATAAAATTAATAATCAGTTGTTTTGAACCAATCATTCAATGTTCTACAAAACCTGTGTTAAATTTATTCAATTCAAATTTAAAGCGTGCTCTTCTTGAGTTTTTAAAAACAGTTTTACTCATCGAGAAATTTTTATATTTCTTTGATACCCAAATCAAAATATCTTGTCAAAGCTAATCCTTAAAACTTATATTCTTAGCTGGAGATGCTAGGCTGGAAGGGCGAGGATTTAAGTCCGAATCAGGACGGAAGCATTGACCGAACCATTTTGGAGCCTAGCGATAAGAAGCGCACTCCCAGCGATGGTGCCTTCGTCAAAGGTTGGTTTATCACATTTATGCGGTTAACTTTATCTTATGTGGTTTTCTAAACTCAGCTCACATTTCGGGAACATTCGGAGGCAATGTGTTTGAGGATCGCGATGTGGAGTTCGACTATGGCGAGGGCAAAGCCATCGGTATTGTCGAGGGCTTGGAGATTGCTCTGGAGAAGATGAACATTGGCGAGACCTCCAGGTAGATCATTTTCCTCATAAGAATTTAGTAAAACTAAACTAAAAACCCCCAACATAGAATCAAAATCCAGCCCAAATATGCATTTGGAGCAGAGGGTAATGAGGAGTTCAAGATCCCACCCAATTCCGCAGTGGAGTATACAGTGAAGCTACTCGACTGCGGAAAGGGACTGGAGGAGTGGAAGCTAAGCGACGAGGAGCGCTTGGCGGAGGCCAAGGCCTATAAGGAGAAGGGCACCAACTACTTCAAGAAGGAGAACTGGGCCCTGGCTATTAAGATGTACACCAAGTGCAAGAATCTGTTGCCCAATACAGCCGATACCAACGAGGAGGTGAAGAAGGTCAAGGTGGCCACACACAGCAACATTGCCTTGTGCCATCAGAAGTCCAACGATCATTTCGAAGCCAAGCAGGAGGTGGGTCTTTGTGTTCAACACTTCAAATTACATGCTAAGTTTGTTTTTGAATATTTTAGTGCAATGCAGTTTTGGCTTTGGATGAGAGCAATGTGAAGGCTCTGTATCGTCGTGGCCAATGCAACTTGACTATTAATGAGCTGGAAGATGCCCTGGAGGACTTCCAAAAGGTTGTTAGACCTAGCGCGTTTTTTTTTTGTTTTATAAACAACTTTGTATTTTTTCAGGTCATCCAACTGGAACCTGGCAACAAGGCCGCTGCTAACCAAGTAATTATCTGCAAGCAGAAGCTCAAGGAAAGCAAGAACAAGGAGAAGAAGCTCTACGCCAACATGTTCACCAAACTGGCTGCCAACGACAAAGAGGTATAGCCATATATATTACCGAATAATGCCAAATAAAGTACAACAATCCTATATATAAAACCCGTATGTCTCCTTCGATTGTTAAACCACTAATTTTCCGTCAACTTTAGACCGAACCACCGCGGGAAACAGACGTGCTCAGCAAGTGCGGCGAGTGGTCAGAGGAAGATGCCAAGCGCGAAGCTGAATTGACGTTAGAGCGCGACAATATAATCATGATCTAATCAAGATCGAATAGTTTTTTAAGTCTTAATCCCTAGGGTTTATAATCCCACATCGAAAATCCAGTAATGTAATGAACAAATGGTCTTAATGCTTATTATACGAAATAAATAAACGCTTTGAGAGCTATGTATATCAGTCGTCAAGTACCTCGAGCCAGCAAATGGAAGCTGGGTCTCGTCTCCCGATCTCGCAGCCACAACGGCGATGTCGGCACCTGGGCCTTAATGTACTCCGAGGCCTTAAAACAGTAGCCGGAACAGAATTTCTTGCGCTCCGTCAGGTCGTATACCTTGTTTTTGGATGCACATATGGTATACTTTTGCTTGGGAATGCTAAAAGAATAGTTTAAAAGAGTAGCTATAAAAGAATCACCATATGATTCGATTGCACTATTTACTTCTCTAGAACGTTAGAGCACAGCGGATATCCACACAATTTGTTTATATCTCGCTCATCCACGATGTCGGAATAATTTGGGGGTCCAATCTCCCATAGCTGCAAAAACAGGAAATACTCAATACCCTCAAGTAGCATATGATTTGCATCAGTTTACCAGGGACAAAAACTCGGGCTCCGGAATTCCCGGCTCCATGAGTCGCACCACGATTTCCTGTGCCCGCGCAATCGCCGCTCGTTTCTTCACCACGGCCGCAATAAGTTGTTGCCTGGTAAGCAAAAGGGCATTCAAATTTAACGTCATTGAATATGTATTTATTGTAATTTACCTCAGTTGGTCGCTCTTTTCGGTCGTCATTTTGTGTGTTTTTGCCCAAATTTGCAATTGAGATGGTCGATAACACGATCACAAATTTCGATAGAAATATGGGCCATCGAGGATAATTTTTATTTTAATGACCATTAAAAAGGATATTCCCTAGCAAAAGTTTTTACAGCCCGTTGTAAGTAATTCTGAATTCATTAATTTAAATACCATGCTTAGATTAATTGCTATAAAATATTTACGGCACTCATATAATCGATAAGACATCATTTTCATCGATAATTAAAACATTTTACCCTTACCGCTGGGGTAACACTGATTTAGTAAACGTAAATAAAAAACAATAATTGATAAGAAAAATGGTTTGTGAAAAGTGCGAGGCCAAATTGTCCAAAGTTTCGGCACCTAATCCTTGGAGAACGAGCACAGCCCCAGCCGGAGGACGAAAAATAAACGAAAACAAGGCTTTATCCTCGGCCCGCGAGCGTTACAATCCCATTGGCACCGCTTTGGCGCCCTGCCGGTGAGAGCTCCACAAGAAGCCATTAAAACATCTTGAAACGGATTTTTGTTCTTTCCAGGATATGTCGGCAAAAAGTCCACCAAATGGGCGCCCACTATTGCCAAGCGTGCGCCTACAAAAAGGCCATTTGCGCCATGTGCGGCAAGAAGATCATGAACATAAAGAACTACAAGCAGAGCTCAACGTGATGCGGTCTATTAAGGGATTCACTTAAGCCTAACCTAGCCATAGACAACAGTATAATTATATCGTATAGTACAACAAATGCCAAAATAAGTTAAGTCTCTGATGGTGTCTTTTCCCGCTTTCGCTTGGCACTCTGGATCTGGGAGGAGTAGCTTAATCCATCCTTGTCGAATTCCAGGGGCATGATGCCCAGATCGCCGGAATAGCGATTTTTGGCTATCTGCAGATACTTTTTCCCCCTCACAGACGTCAGTCTTTTGTCCTGGATAATAAGCACGTTGTCAGCCTCTTGAGTGGCCTTCGCTGTTCCGAAAACGGAACTGGTGGTCAGTTCGTCCTCCTGCCGCTCCTTTCGGGGATGCATGACCAGTGTCACGTGCACGTTGTGCTTGGTGGCAAAGGAGCGAAAGGCTGCTATGATGGAGTCCTGCTCCCAGAACTTGTCGCCCCGATGCGTGGACACGCCCATCATAAACTGGAGGTTGTCGATGATCACGTGCATCACGTCGTGCACATAGGATGCATGCTCGATGGCCTCCAGCACTGGCTTAAGGGGCTGCTGCCCGTGGAAGGTCATGAAGTAGAGCGGAAGGCGTTCGAATTCCTCTGCCCAGTGGTTAAACTCCTGCAGCCGATCGTCCAAAGGGTAGCCCACATACTGGCGGAGCAGGGTGGCCGCCAACCGGGTGTTCCGAATCTCGAAGGATCCCCAGAGCGTGCTCACACCCTGCATGGCTAGGTCAAGGGAGTATTCGCTCATGAAGGTCGTCTTTCCGCTGCCCGTGGGTCCTGTTAGGATGGTCAACTCTCCCCTCCGATGGCCCTTGAGCAGCTTGTTCAGAACTGGAAAGCGCTTCCACTTCACACCATTGACCTTCTCGATGTTCTGCAACTCGCTAAGGATGTCATTTCGCATCGCGCCAAAGGTGGTAATGGCCTTGTGCCGCACTGGTGTCGCTTTGGCCAGGATGTGTCGCAGATTGAGACGACGACGGAGAGCCAAGTGGGGCGCAGGTTCTGTTTCAGTGGGTCGAATCAACAGGCAACGCTTTTCGTCCATCTTCAGAGCAAATGCTCGAGCTGCATCCCAGCTGTGGCTGGCATCGTAGTGCAGCCAAAAGACCAGCTCCTTAAAGCGCTCCAGGCCGGGAAGACACTCCTGTGGAAGCGTCTTCAACTCGTAAGGCAGGCAAACTACGCAGTCTGAAGGAACAATGAATATAAAACATTTATAAATCCACTAAGAAGCGTATTTACATTCAGATTGCAGATAGAGCTATTGACTAAAAATATAATATATATTACTTACGCGACTCGATATTCTGTGTGGCGAGGACTATAAAGTCCAGTAGATTACTGACTAGGACTGCTTTAGATTTGTTTGCACCGCCGTGAATGAGCAGACCTGAGATCAAACTCCCCTGGAAGGTCTCCTCGCGGCGATCGCCCAGATACAAAACCTTCTCACCCACAACTTGTTGCGCGGCATTGCGTAATCTGAAGTGGAGCAGCTGTTGTTCCGGTTCCCACTGTGCTCCAATGGCATTTAGTTGGTCCTCCTTTAAACCCTTGATGCCCAGGGCTTCGCAGGCTTCGGCGGTCACATGAACGAGATGGGAGAATCGGGATTCAAAAAGCGGCTGCCTTTGCGGGGGTCGCCTGTAGCCAACCGGCGTGGGCAACTGATAGGCCAATAAAGCATTGGCCAGTGAAGTTTTCACATCGCAGCTGGGGCAGATGACGGCTCCTAAAATGAAGGATTAAGTATATAACGAATCTGTTTAAGATTAGTACTAGGTATACTCACCCGTCCGCTTGTTTACGTAAGCCAATGGCCCTTGGTCCCCGCCTTTTTGGGCGCTTGTTGCCGGCTGCTTGTTGCGTTCGCACAGGCGACACTCCAACTGCAAGCACGTGTGTCCATCTTTGTGGGGCAAATTGAGCTGCCGCAGTTGCCGCTTGAAGTCCACGTACTCCTTGGGGTCCAGCGAACACTCGGTCAAGTTAGAATCTACTTGGGTTGCGTAGTTTTTTCTCCAGACCCGTGATTTGTTGTTATTTATACGCAACAGCGGTTTGATTAAACCGGCGCGTCTCATTTTCCATGTTATCGATATCGGAAGTTGGGGGTGTCCAATAGAGATGATAATTAGGCGCGTAATTTTAAATACATACAATTTTTATTTGAACCCTTTGCAATCCATCAATATGTTAATTATGCTTTTAGGTAATTTTCCAAAATGATGAACAAATTATCTAAAAGCAAAAGAAAAACGTTTTTTTATTACCTTCAATAAACTCTCTAGAAAGGCCTTATTTGTTTTATTATTAGCTTACTTTCGCTAAGTACTCCCTAAACCAATTGTTAAGTGATTATGGTAACAAAATATATAACGGCTTATATTCCCACTCGAGGCCCAAAAAATAAATGCATCAAAAACTCCGACGATAGATAAAACTTGGTCTGTTTCTGTCATCCTGACCCATACTCATTAGATGAGGTCTCCAAAAATTTATTAAGAAGGAAAACTTCCTGGGCCTGTAAATTTTCCCATCCCACCCGTAAATTAATAATTTAATTAAGGTATATATAAAGCATTTTTATTATTTTATTTATTTTAATGTGTATACAAAAACATCCAGATATTTATTTGAATTGCCCTCTCTGGTGTTCATTCTGAAATGAAAGTAAATAAAGTGTTAGCATTTGTAAACCAGTTACGTATAAAAAATATTTTGTTTAAAAAAAGCGATCAGACGCCTTAGCCCATCCTTAAGCCGAAGCTTTCTGGTGGAAACCGCAAAAGGTGTTTAAGGTAATCATCATTTAATCGCTTTTTTAAAAATAATCATTGTTAAATAATACCTTTTAATTATAACAAATCCAATCAATTGATATTGATATATAAATGTCCATTGCATCAGTTATTCTGGAAATAACAAATATTAATAAGCATTTGCAAAGCTCAAAGTTTCATTCACAAATTATAGTAAAAATTGTTGTCAGACGCCAAAAACCATCTTTAGGCCGAAGCCTTCTGGTGGAAACCGCAAAAGGTATTTGAAATAATCATCATTTTAAACTTTTACCAGTGACGTTTAGGTATACTTATAAAAAGGGTAAAATAATTACCTGTATTAGAAATGCCCATGTGGGCAAAGTAATGAGAATCACTCATAACCTCAATCCGGCCGGTAATTTCTGTAGTTTTTTCAACCATAAGAAAGCTGACATCGCGGTAACATCATAGCCTAAAACAAGAGAAAAAAAATGTATTAATACTAATGGACATACATAGGTTAAAATAACATATCTAATTTTTAATGGTATCAGTTTACATTTTTTCCACACGAGTCTAGATCTCGGTACAGGTCTGTGTAAAAGTTCATCACAACAGCACAAATTATTAAATAAAAAAAATATCTTACCTCCAATATTAGAAGTTTAAGCCGAGGGCTCATGGACCGAGGTGTCTCAAAGACCTCACATATTGTCCCGAGGTGTCTCAAAGACCTCACATGTTGTCCCGAGGTGTCTCAAAGACCTCACGTGTTGTCCCGAGGTGTCTCACATGCACATGGCACGTTTAAATTCAATTTAACCAAATGGTTACGGCTTCCAATAGTTTTCACTGTAAGAAATATATAAACTTTAGCACACATTATAGTTGAAGCTAATAAACAATATAGTTTGAGGTGTATGCCATCAGATTGCCGATTCATCTTAAATGAACAAATATAGTTCAACAAAGCATTGAAAGATACAACGCAAAGTCGAGAAAATGTCCCTTCAGTCTCGTCATCAGTTTCATCATTTTGAGGCATAACACTTGGTTTTATTGAAATCACTTTGAATTTATTTTAATTAAAAATTCTAACCGAGCTCAAGCGGACTTACCATTTCCTTTGAGTTTTCGAAAAAAAGTGAACGAGGAACGTAAATGCACGTGGAAGGAAAAGTGTATATAAAAATGGCGGCGAACTATCGATACAGTGGCATGCAACCATAAAAATATCGTATCGGAAGAACACTGAAATTTTATTTTGTAAACGATAAATATCTGTAATCGATGTACCGATAGTCCAATCCAATCATCGCTGTTCCCAGCTGATCACCATAATAATTTCCGCACGTGTGTTTAAATTGTTTACATTTTTCAAGAAATTACACATTAAAATGGTAATTATACTTTTCCACATCGTTTTTCGAGTCCTAACACCTTTTATTGTAATACAGGGAAAGCACAAGAAGACGCAGAAAGTGAAGAAACAGCGCAATGCGCAACTGAAACGCATGATGAAGCCAACGGACACTCGCATTAAGGATCAGATTCGGGTCAAAAGAAAAAAGGCTGAGGATCCACACCAGCTCAAGGTGCACGAGGCCACTCAGCAGAGCTCCGCCCTGTTCTTCCAGTATAACACCCAGCTGGGACCGCCGTACCACATCGTCTTGGACACGAACTTCATCAACTTTAGCATCAAAAACAAACTGGACATCGTGCAGGGAATGATGGACTGCCTGTACGCGAAGTGCATACCCTACATCTCTGACTGCGTGCGGGCCGAGCTTGAGAAGCTGGGCAACAAGTACAAGCTGGCCCTGCGCATCATTTCCGATCCGCGGTTCGAGCGACTGCCCTGCCTGCACAAGGGCACCTATGCGGACGACTGCCTGGTGGAGCGGGTGCGCCAGCACAAGTGCTACATCGTGGCCACCAACGACAAGGACCTAAAGAACCGCATCCGCAAGATTCCGGGTGTGCCCATCATGTACGTGGCGGCGCACAAGTACGCGATCGAGCGGATGCCGGAGGCCTACGGAGTGAAGGCGTAGATATTTTGCTTATCAATCCTAAGTGTAATGTTTTAAATATAAAATTAATTTAAGCGGCAAACTGCGTTTTTAATTATATGGAATAGTGGGTTGTATTTTCATTGTGGTTTATGTGATAGTTACCATTCCGTATCACAGTTCTTATCAATACTACACAGTTTTATCCAGACAAATTCTTCAAATATATTTGAACTCAACAATTAATAAGATACCATCATTTTAAATACGTGTCAATAGAAGTCTTAAGCGACTCGCATAATGATGCTGATAAAAAGACATATTTTATGTCTGTAATTTTTCCATAACTTTAAGGCAAAGACCATGGGATTTTTAGAAATAATTTGACAAAACACGAAAACAAGGTCCATCCTTGTGTGGCGTATTCAACAAATACAAAAAAAAGCCTTTAAGGTAACTTTACCAAGTGCCACAATTATAACACAAAGCTTTTATATTTTTATGTTTATGACTTTATTCAAAAACTCTGGATTGCTTGGCCTCGATGGGGGTCATTTAAGCATCGGCGTGCAGACGAGCAGTGGGCTTGGACAGGAAGTCCGAGTATGCATGGTAGGGGGTTGAGCCCAGGGGCATCTCCTTCCACAGATCGGGGGTGAGGTAAGCGTACGTCTTGGCGATGGCGGCATAGGTGGCCTTGGCGAAGTTGCCGAGGGTACCGGTGGAGCCACGGGCCGAGGTGTAGCAATCCTCAATACCAGCCATAGTCAGCAGCTTCTTGGGCACGGGGGCCGAGACGATGCCAGTACCACGGGGGGCGGGGATGAGGCGCACGGAGACGGAGCCGCACTTGCCGGTGACCTTGCAGGGCACGGTGTGGGGCTTGCCGATCTTGTTGCCCCAGTAGCCACGGCGCACGGGCACCACGGACAGCTTGGCCAGGATGATGGCTCCGCGGATGGCGGTGGCCACTTCCTTGCTGCACTTAACTCCCAGACCAATGTGGCCGTTGTTGTCGCCGATGGCCACAAAGGCCTTGAAACGGGTGCGCTGACCAGCACGGGTCTGCTTCTGGACGGGCATGATCTTCAGCACCTCATCCTTCAGCGAGGAGCCCAGGAAGAAGTCGATGATCTCGAACTCTTTGATGGGCAACGAGTACAGGTAGATCTCCTCCAAGGACTTGATCTTTCCCTCGCGCACCAGGCGTCCTAGCTTGGTAACTGGCACCCACTCCTTGGAGTCCTCCTTGCCGCCACGTCCGCGGGCGCCGCGTCCACGGCCACGACCGCGTCCACCACGACCACCACGAGAGCCAAATCCGCCACGGAATCCACTACGGGCTGGAGCTGCGTCCGCCATTCTGAAAGAGACCAAAATTATGTTAGTTTTGCGTTGATAATGGAAAATCCCCAGTTTTCCCTATGCCATCTAGTGGAAACCGCAAAAGGTAGTCAAGATATTTATCATTCCATATTTCACTAGCGTCGCCATTTTGAAACACGTGGTGCTCCAAGGGAAATATTGATTTTCTTGAAAATACGCTCCATCACGTTTAATTTCCCACATTAAATTAGCAAATAACATTTTGCAAAACACAGACTGTCCAAAAGCACATTTAATTCACTGCTACACCAATTAATTCCCATAAAATTACACTCGCAAAATCTTACTTGTAGGTCTATCAACTTTATTGGGGTGAAGACAAAAACGAAATGGCCGAGCCATCAGTGGTGGAGAGACATCGATGCCTAAATCGATGTACATATCGGTGATATCGATGATTAGCCGGGAACAATCGATGTTTTTTCCATCTCTAAACAGTTTTGAAAATCTTACTACTGATCTCATGCACTGTTAATGATACCGCTCTGTTATTTTCCACTCCATTTACTATGTTTGAAAAATAACGGAAAACAGGATGAAGTTGCAGATATTGTTCGGCAGATGGCAGCATTGTTTCGCATGTGCCATCTGTAGGTTCAGTCATCGTTAGTTTGAGAGTCAGTTGTCAGTCTAGTTTTAGAGCCACTGATACTCCTTTTGAACACTGTTAACAACAGAAAAATGGCAACGCCGGGATGGGGAGGGTCTTGAGGGGGGCAACGCTGGCAGTCTTGAGGGTATGATTTCGGTCGTGAGGCTTGGGAGCGTTTCCTGCGCTTTTCTGAGGGGGTCCCAGGGTCGTGGCGGATGTGGGGGAGCGGGCGCAACTTTTGGGGGGTCTCACGCTGGGGGCCGAGTTCGGAAAACTGAGAAATTGGGGAATAACCGATAAAGTTCAGTTTGACTGTCTGGCAGCACAGTTTTGGCGCCGTTGTTCAAAGTTGTTGTGTTTTTAATAGTATGGACCTCTTTATTTTTTCGTATTGATAAGAAACATAATTTTCATTGAACATTGTTTTTTTATAGAAATCATTAAATTAATCATTAATCTTATTTTATTCTGTCATCTTAGGAAGTTATGTTCCTTTCACAAAATAACTCGTACATAGTTCTTTAAAAGGATTTATAAATCATTTTTATTTAAAAAAAAATCTTTGTTTTAAATTATAATGGCTTTCCCTAAAATGAATCGACTCTTTTGTGGGCATATATTTTTGAATATAAATTATTACTGCTAGGGTAATTTAGGGTACTTTTGCTGTTAATACTGATATTTTATGTTGTTAGTTTTGTTTTATTACAAGGAAGGCGATTTATTTGTGTTGTTAAATGATCTCCAAAAAAAGTTTGGAAAACTCCCGAAAGGATTTGGCAATTGTGGCAGTGGTGGAAGATTGGGAAGAGGAATTTCAGGTAAGGATATTGCTGTTAAATTAAATTCCGGCAATGGGGGCAATGGTGGCAATGCTGGCAATGGTGGCAATGGAGGCAGAGCAGGCAAAGCGGGCGGCAGACCAGGCAACGCGGGAGGTGGAGGAGGCAAGGGAAGAGGAAATTCAGGAAGGGGCAGAGGTGGCCAAGGCAGAGGCAGCGGCAGAGGGGGAAGATCAGGAAGTGGAAGAAAGGACAAGCCGGGATCAGCTGGCCTGTGATAATGAATATGGTGATGGTGGTGGACATGTTGCCTTTCGGTAGTACTCAATTCAGTGGTCGTTCCATTCTGATTTGACAAATCGGTGGCTGTCGGAACGGCTGTTGTTTCTAATGTCGTGGGCTCCTGAGTTGTATTTTTAGTTGTTGTCTCCACCGTTGTTGGCTTTAAAGTAGTCGTTGGAGTAGTTGCCTTTGGCGTTGTTGGTTCTGTTGGCTCACGGGTAGGTTTTACAGTTGTTGTCCTTTTTGTAGTTGGCTCATGGGTGGTCCTTACAGTTGTTGTTTTTCTAGTTTTAGGCTCTGTTGTAGTCTTTACAGTAGTTTTCCTTTTGGTTGTTGGCTTACGAGTAGTTGTTTTCTGAGTTGTTGGTTCTTCTGTAGTCTTAACAGTTGTTGGCTCTGTAGAAGACTTTACAGTTGTTGTCCTTATGGTTGTTGGCTCTGTTGTAGTCTTTACAGTAGTTTTCCTTTTGGTTGTTGGCTTACGAGTAGTTGTTTTCTGAGTTGTTGGTTCTTCTGTAGTCTTAACAATTGTTGGCTCTGTAGAAGACTTTACAGTTGTTGTCCTTATGGTTGTTGGCTCTGTTGTAGTTTTCCTTTTGGTTGTTGGCTTACGAGTACTCATTACGGCTGTTGTTTTTTGGGTTGTTGTCTTTTGAATTGTTGGCTCTGTTGTAGATTTAATGGTTGTTGTCTTCTGAGGTACTGTGGTAGTCCTCGTTGTTGTGTTTTTTTCAGTGATTGGCTTATTTGAAGTCCTTGGCGTTGTTCGCTCTTTTGTAGTTGCTGTTTTCTCGGTGGTAGACTTTGTAGTAGTAGTTTTTCCGGTTGTTGTTTTCTCGGTGTTTGGCTCTGTGGAAGTCTTAGTCGTACTCGTCTTTGGCGTTGTTGGCTCTGTTGTAGATTTCAAGGTTGTTGTCTTATGAGTCGTCTTTCGGGTTGTTGGCTCTGTTGTAGATTTCAAAGTTGTTGTCTTGTAAGTCGTTGGCTCCGGTGTAGTAATTGGTTTCGTTGTTCTATCGGTAGTTTGCTCCGTGGTAGTTTTTGTCGTGGTCGTCTTCTGGGTTGTTGGCTCTGTTGTAGATTTAATGGTTGTTGTTACTTGACTTGTTGGCTCTGTGGTGGTTTTTCCGGTTGTTGTTTTCTCGGTGCTTGGCTCTGTGGAAGTCTTAGTCGTAGTTGTCTTTCGGGTTGTTGGCTCTGTTGTAGATTTCAAGGTGGTTGTCTTATGGGTCGTCTTTCGGGTTGTTGGCTCTGTTGTAGATTTCAAGGTTGTTGTCTTATGAGTCGTTGGCTCCGGTGTAGTAATTGGTTTCGTTGTTCTATCGGTAGTTTGCTCCGTGGTAGTTTTTGTCGTGGACGTCTTCTGGGTGGTTGGCTCTGTTGTAGATTTAATGGTTGTTGTTACTTGACTTGTTGGCTCTGTGGTAGTTTTTCCGGTTGTTGTTTTCTCGTTGTTTGGCTCTGTGGAAGTCTTTGTCGTTGGCTCTGTGGTGGTTTTTCCGGTTGTTGTTTTATTGGTGTTTGGCTCTGTGGAAGTCTTTGTCGTACTTGTCTTTGGCGTTGTTGGCTCTGATGTAGATTTCAAGGTGGTTGTCTTATGAGTCGTCTTTCGGGTTGTTGGCTCTGTTGTAGATATCAAGGTTGTTGTCTTATGAGTCGTTGGCTCCGGTGTAGTACTTGGTGTCGTTGTCCTCTCGGTGCTTGGCTCCGTGGTAGCTTTTGTAGTAGTCGTCGTCTGTGGCTCTGTTGTAGATTTTAAGGTTGTTGTTTCTTGACTCGTTGGCTCTGTGGTGGTTTTTCCGGTTGTTGTTTTCTCGGTGTTTGGCTCTGTGGAAGTCTTAGTCGTAGTTGTCTTTCGGGTTGTTGGCTCGGTTGTAGATTTCAAGGTTGTTGTCTTATGAGTCGTTGGCTCCGGTGTAGTACTTGGTGTCGTTGTTCTCTCGGTAGTTGGCTCCGTGGTAGCTTTTGTAGTAGTCGTCGTCTGTGGCTCTGTTGTAGATTTTAAGGTTGTTGTTTCTTGACTCGTTGGCTCTGTGGTGGTTTTTCCGATTGTTGTTTTCTCGGTGTTTGGCTCTGTGGACGTCTTAGTCGTAGTTGTCTTTCGGGTTGTTGGCTCGGTTGTAGATTTCAAGGTTGTTGTCTCATGAGTCGTTGGCTCCGGTGTAGTACTTGGCTTCGTTGTTCTCTCGGTAGTTGGCTCCGTGGTAGTTTTTGTCGTGGTCGTCTTCTGGGTTGTTGGCTCTGTTGTAGATTTTCCGGTTGTTGTTTTCTCGGTGCTTGGCTCTGTGGAAGTCTTAGTCGTAGTTGTCTTTCGGGTTGTTGGCTCTGTTGTAGATTTCAAGGTGGTTGTCTTATGGGTCGTCTGTCGGGTTGTTGGCTCTGTTGTAGATTTCAAGGTTGTTGTCTTATGAGTCGTTGGCTCCGGTGTAGTACTTGGTGTCGTTGTTCTCTCGGTAGTTGGCTCCGTGGTAGTTTTTGTAGTAGTCGTCTTGTGGTTCTTTGGCTCTGTTGTAGATTTTAAGGTGGTTGTTTCCTGACTCGTGGTGGTTTTTCCGGTTGTAGTTTTCTCGTTGTTTGGCTCTGTAGAAGACTTTGTCGTAGTTGTCTTTCGTGTTGTTGGCTCTGTTGTAGATTTCAAGGTTGTTGTCTTATGAGTCGTCTTTCGAGTTGTTGGTTCTGTTGTAGATTTCAAGGTTGTTGTCTTATGAGTCGTCTTTCGGGTTGTTGGCTCTGTTGTAGATTTCAATGTTGTTGTCTTATGAGTACTTGGTGTCGTTGTCCTCTCGGTGCTTGGCTCCGTGGTAGCTTTTGTAGTAGTCGTCTTCTGGTTCGTTGGCTCTGTTGTAGATTTTAAGGTTGTTGTTTCTTGACTCGTTGGCTCTGTGGTGGTTTTTCCGGTTGTTGTTTTCTCGGTGTTTGGCTCTGTGGAAGTCTTAGTCGTAGTTGTCTTTCGGGTTGTTGGCTCGGTTGTAGATTTCAAGGTTGTTGTCTTATGAGTCGTTGGCTCCGGTGTAGTACTTGGTGTCGTTGTTCTCTCGGTAGTTGGCTCCGTGGTAGTCTTTATAGTAGTCTTCGTCTGTTTCTGTGGCTCTGTTGTAGATTTTAAGGTTGTTGTTTCTTGACTCGTTGGCTCTGTGGTGGTTTTTCCGGTTGTTGTTTTCACGATGTTTGGCTCTGTGGAAGTCTTAGTCGTAGTTGTCTTTCGGGTTGTTGGCTGTGTTGTAGATTTCAAGGTTGTTGTCTTATGAGTCGTTGGCTCCGGTGTAGTACTTGGTGTCGTTGTTCTCTCGGTAGTTGGCTCCGTGGTAGTTTTTGTAGTCGTCGTCTTTTGGGTTGCTGGCTCTGTTGTAGATATAATGGTTGTTGTTTCTTGACTTGTTGGCTCTGTGGTGGTTTTTGCGGTTGTTGTTTTCTCGGTGTTTGGCTCTGTGGAAGTCTTTGTCGTAGTTGTCTTTCGGGTTGTTGTCTTTCGGGTTGTTGTCTTTCGGGTAGTTGGCTCTGTTGTAGATTTCAAGGTTGTTGTCTTATGAGTCGTTGGCTCCGATGTAGTACTTGGTGTCGTTGTTCTTTCGGTAGTTGGCTCCGTGGTAGTTTTTGTAGTAGTCGTCTTCTGGGTTGCTGGCTCTGATGTAGATTTAATGGTGGTTGTTTCTTCACTCGTTGGCTCTGTGGTGGTTTTTTCGGTTGTTGTTTTCTCGGTGCTTGGCTCTGTGGAAGTCTTTGTCGTAGTTGTCTTTCGGGTTGTTGGCTCGGTTGTAGATTTCAAGGTTGTTGTCTTATGAGTCGTTAGCTCCGGTGAAGTACTTGGTGTCGTTGTTCTCTCGGTAGTTGGCTCCGTGGTAGCTTTTGTAGTAGTCGTCGTCTGTGGCTCTGTTGTAGATTTTAAGGTTGTTGTTTCTTGACTCGTTGGCTCTGTGGTGGTTTTTCCGGTTGTTGTTTTCTCGGTGTTTGGCTCTGTGGACGTCTTAGTCGTAGTTGTCTTTCGGGTTTTTGGCTCGGTTGTAGATTTCAAGGTTGTTGTCTCATGAGTCGTTGGCTCCGGTGTAGTACTTGGCTTCGTTGTTCTCTCGGTAGTTGGCTCCGTGGTAGTTTTTGTCGTGGTCGTCTTCTGGGTTGTTGGCTCTGTTGTAGATTTAATGGTTGTTGTTACTTGACCTGTTGGCTCTGTGGTAGTTTTTCCGGTTGTTGTTTTCTCGGTGCTTGGCTCTGTGGAAGTCTTAGTCGTAGTTGTCTTTCGGGTTGTTGGCTCTGTTGTAGATTTCAAGGTGGTTGTCTTATGGGTCGTCTTTCGGGTTGTTGGCTCTGTTGTAGATTTCAAGGTTGTTGTCTTATGAGTCGTTGGCTCCGGTGTAGTACTTGGTGTCGTTGTCCTCTCGGTGCTTGGCTCCGTGGTAGCTTTTGTAGAAGTCGTCTTCTGGTTCGTTGGCTCTGTTGTAGATTTTAAGGTGGTTGTTTCCTGACTCGTGGTGGTTTTTCCGGTTGTAGTTTTCTCGTTGTTTGGCTTTGTAGAAGACTTTGTCGTAGTTGTCTTTCGTGTTGTTGGCTCTGTTGTAGATTTCAAGGTTGTTGTCTTATGAGTCGTCTTTCGAGTTGTTGGTTCTGTTGTAGATTTCAAGGTTGTTGTCTTATGAGTCGTCTTTCGGGTTGTAAGCTCTGTTGTAGATTTCAATGTTGTTGTCTTATGAGTACTTGGTGTCGTTGTCCTCTCGGTGCTTGGCTCCGTGGTAGCTTTTGTAGTAGTCGTCTTCTGGTTCGTTGGCTCTGTTGTAGATTTTAAGGTTGTTGTTTCTTGACTCGTTGGCTCTGTGGTGGTTTTTCCGGTTGTTGTTTTCTCGGTGTTTGGCTCTGTGGAAGTCTTAGTCGTAGTTGTCTTTCGGGTTGTTGGCTCGGTTGTAGATTTCAAGGTTGTTGTCTTATGAGTCGTTGGCTCCGGTGTAGTACTTGGTGTCGTTGTTCTCTCGGTAGTTGGCTCCGTGGTAGTCTTTATAGTAGTCTTCGTCTGTTTCTGTGGCTCTGTTGTAGATTTTAAGGTTGTTGTTTCTTGACTCGTTGGCTCTGTGGTGGTTTTTCCGGTTGTTGTTTTCACGATGTTTGGCTCTGTGGAAGTCTTAGTCGTAGTTGTCTTTCGGGTTGTTGGCTGTGTTGTAGATTTCAAGGTTGTTGTCTTATGAGTCGTTGGCTCCGGTGTAGTACTTGGTGTCGTTGTTCTCTCGGTAGTTGGCTCCGTGGTAGTTTTTGTAGTCGTCGTCTTTTGGGTTGCTGGCTCTGTTGTAGATATAATGGTTGTTGTTTCTTGACTTGTTGGCTCTGTGGTGGTTTTTGCGGTTGTTGTTTTCTCGGTGTTTGGCTCTGTGGAAGTGTTTGTCGTAGTTGTCTTTCGGGTTGTTGTCTTTCGGGTTGTTGGCTCTGTTGTAGATTTCAAGGTTGTTGTCTTATGAGTCGTTGGCTCCGATGTAGTACTTGGTGTCGTTGTTCTTTCGGTAGTTGGCTCCGTGGTAGTTTTTGTAGTAGTCGTCTTCTGGGTTGCTGGCTCTGATGTAGATTTGAAGGTTGTTGTTTCTTGACTCGTTGGCTCTGTGGTGGTTTTTGCGGTTGTTGTTTTCTCGGTGTTTGGCTCTGTGGAAGTCTTTGTCTTAGTTGTCTTTCGTGTTGTTGGCTCGGTTGTAGATTTCAAGGTTGTTGTCTTATGAGTCGTTAGCTCCGGTGAAGTACTTGGTGTCGTTGTTCTCTCGGTAGTTGGCTCCTTGGTAGCTTTTGTAGTAGTCGTCGTCTGTGGCTCTGTTGTAGATTTTAAGGTTGTTGTTTCTTGACTCGTTGGCTCTGTGGTGGTTTTTCCGGTTGTAGTTTTCTCGGTGTTTGGCTCTGTGGAAGTCTTTGTTGTAGTTGTCTTTCGTGTTGTTGGCTCTGTTGTAGATTTCAAGGTTGTTGTCCTGTGAGTCGTTGTTCTCTCGGTGGTTGCCTCCGTGGTAGTTTTTGTAGTAGTCGTCTTCTGTGTCTGTAGCTCTGTTGTAGACTTTAGGGTTGTTGTTTCTTGAGTTGTAGGCTCTGTGGTGGTTTTTCCGGTTGTTGTTTTCTCGGTGTTTGGCTCTGTGGACGTCTTAGTCGTAGTTGTCTTTCGGGTTGTTGGCTCTGTTGTAGATTTCAAGGTTGTTGTCTCATGAGTCGTTGTCTCCAATGTAGTAATTGGTGTCGTTGTTCTCTCGGTAGTTGGCTCCGTGGTAGTTTCTGTAGTAGTCGTCTTCTGGGTTGCTGGCTCTGATGTAGATTTAATGGTTGTTGTTTCTTGACTCGTTGGCTCTGTGGTGGTTTTTCCCGTTATTGCTTTCTCTGTGCTTGGCTCTGTGGAGGTCTTAGTCGTAGTTGTCTTTCGGGTTGTTGGCTTGGTTGTAGATTTCAAGGTTGTTGTCTCATGAGTCGTTGGCTCCGGTGTAGTACTTGGTGTCGTTGTTCTCTCGGTAGTTGGCTCCGTGGTAGTTTTTGTAGTAGTCGTCTTCTGTGTCTGTGGCTTTGTTGTAGATTTTAAGGTTGTTGTTTCTTGACTCGTTGGCTCTGTGGTGGTCTTTCCGGTTGTTGTTTTCTCGGTGTTTGGCTCTGTGGAAGTCTTAGTCGTAGTTGTCTTTCGGGTTGTTGGCTCGGTTGTAGATTTCAAGGTTGTTGTCTTATGAGTCGTTGGCTCCGGTGTAGTACTTGGTGTCGTTGTTCTCTCGGTAGTTGGCTCCTTGGTAGTTTTTGTAGTAGTCGTCTTCTGGGTTGCTGGCTCTGATGTAGATTTAATGGTTGTTGTTTCTTGACTCGTTGGCTCTGTGGTGGTTTTTCCCGTTGTTGCTTTCTTTGTGTTTGGCTCTGTGGAGGTCTTAGTCGTAGTTGTCTTTCGGGTTGTTGGCTCGGTTGTAGATTTCAAGGTTGTTGTCTTATGAGTCGTTGGCGCCGGTGTAGTACTTGGTGTCGTTGTTCTCTCGGTAGTTGGCTCCGTGGTAGTTTTTGTAGTAGTCGTCTTCTGGGTTGCTGGCTCTGATGTAGATTTAATGGTTGTTGTTTCTTGACTCGTTGGCTCTGTGGTGGTTTTTCCGGTTGTTGTTTTCTCGGTGTTTGGCTCTGTGGACGTCTTAGTCGTAGTTGTCTTTCGGGTTGTTGGCTCGGTTGTAGATTTCAAGGTTGTTGTCTTATGAGTCGTATCCTCTGGTGTAGTACTTGGTGTCGTTGTTCTCTCGGTAGTTGGCTCCGTGGTAGTTTTTGTAGAAGTCGTCTTCTGTGTCTGTGGCTCTGTTGTAGATTTTAAGGTTGTTGTTTCTTGACTTGTTGGCTCTGTGGTGGTTTTTCCGGTTGTTGTTTTATCGGTGTTTGGCTCTGTGGAAGTCTTAGTCGTAGTTGTCTTTCGGGTTGTTGGCTCGGTTGTAGATTTCAAGGTTGTTGTCTTATGAGTCGTTGGCGCAAGTGTAGTACTTGGTGTCGTTGTTCTCTCGGTAGTTGGCTCCATGGTAGTGTTTGTAGTAGTCGTCTTCTGGGTTGCTGGCTCTGTTGTAGATTTTAAGGTTGTTGTTTCTTGACTCGTTGGCTCTGTGGTGGTTTTTGCGGTTGTTGTTTTCCTGGTGTTTGGCTCTGTGGTAGTCTTTGTCGTAGTTGTCTTTCGGGTTGTTGGCTCTGTTGTAGATTTCAAGGTTGTTGTCTTATGAGTCGTTGGCGCCGGTGTAGTACTTGGTGTCGTCGTTCTCTCGGTAGTTGGCTCCGTGGTAGTTTTTGTAGTAGTCGTCTTCTGTGTCTGTGGCTCTGTTGTAGATTTTAAGGTTGTTGTTTCTTGACTTGTTGGCTCTGTGGTGGTTTTTCCGGTTGTTGTTTTATCGGTGTTTGGCTCTGTGGAAGTCTTAGTCGTAGTTGTCTTTAGGGTTGTTCGCTCGGTTGTAGATTTTAAGGTTGTTGTCTTATGAGTCGTTGGCGCAAGTGTAGTACTTGGTGTCGTTGCTCTCTCGGTAGTTGGCTCCGTGGTAGTGTTTGTAGTAGTCGTCTTCTGGGTTGCTGGCTCTGATGTAGATTTAATGGTTGTTGTTTTTTGACTCGTTGGCTCTGTGGTGGTCTTTCCGGTTGTTGGTTTCTCGGTGTTTGGCTCTGTGGTAGTCTTAGTCGTAGTTGTCTTTCGGGTTGTTGGCTCGGTTGTAGATTTCAAGGTTGTTGTCTTATGAGTCGTTGGCTCCGGTGTAGTACTTGGTGTCTTTGTTCTCTCGGTAGTTGGCTCCGTGGTAGTTTTTGTAGGAGTCGTCTTCTGTGTCTGTGGCTCTGTTGTAGATTTTAAGGTTGTTGTTTCTTGACTCGTTGGCTCTGTGGTGGTTTTTGTGGTTGTTGTTTTCTCGGTGTTTGGCTCTGTGGTAGTCTTTGTCGTAGTTGTCTTTCGCGTTGTTGGCTCTGTTGTAGATTTCAAGGTTGTTGTCTTATGAGTCGTTGGCGCCGGTGTAGTACTTGGTGTCGTTGTTCTCTCGGTAGTTGGCTCCGTGGTAGTGTTTGTAGTAGTCGTCTTCTGGGTTGCTGGCTCTGATGTAGATTTAATGGTTGGTGTTTTTTGACTCGTTGGCTCTGTGGTGGTCTTTCCGGTTGTTGTTTTATCGTTGTTTGGCTCTGTGGAAGTCTTAGTCGTAGTTGTCTTTCGGGTTGTTGGCTCGGTTGTAGATTTCAAGGTTGTTGTCTTATGAGTCGTTGGCTCCGCTGTAGTACTTGGTGTCGTTGTTCTCTCGGTAGTTGGCTCCGTGGTAGTGTTTGTAGTAGTCGTCTTCTGAGTCTGTGGCTCTGTTGTAGATTTTAAGGTTGTTGTTTCTTGACTCGTTGGCTCTGTGGTGTTTTTTCCGGTTGTTGTTTTCTCGGTGTTTGGCTCTGTGGAAGTCTTTGTTGTAGTTGTCTTTCGTGTTGTTGGCTCTGTTGTAGATTTCAAGGTTGTTGTCCTGTGAGTCGTTGGCTCCGGTGTAGTACTTGGTGTCGTTGTTCTCTCGGTGGTTGGCTCCGTGGTAGTTTTTGTAGTAGTCGCCTTCTGGGTTGCTGGCTCTGTAGTAGATTTAATGGTTGTTGTTTCTTGACTCGTTGGCTCTGTGGTGGTTTTTCCTGTTGTTGTTTTCTCGGTGTTTGGCTCTGTGGAAGTCTTAGTAGTAGTTGCCTTTCGGGTTGTTGGCTCGGTTGTAGATTTCAAGGTTGTTGTCTTATGAGTCGTTGGCTCCGGTGTAGTACTTGGTGTCGTTGTTCTCTCGGTAGTTGGCTCCGTGGTAGTTGTTGTAGTAGTCGTCTTCTGGGTTGCTGGCTCTGTTGTAGATATAATGGTTGTTGTTTCTTGACTCGTTGGCTCTGTGGTGGTTTTTCCGGTTGTTGTTTTCTCGGTGCTTGGCTCTGTGGACGTCTTAGTCGTAGTTGTCTTTCGGGTTGTTGGCTCGGTTGTAGATTTCAAGGTTGTTGTCTTATGAGTCGTATCCTCTGGTGTAGTACTTGGTGTCGTTGTTCTCTCGGTAGTTGGCTCCGTGGTAGTTTTTATAGAAGTCGTCTTCTGTGTCTGTGGCTCTGTTGTAGATTTAATGGTTGTTGTTTCTTGACTTGTTGGCTCTGTGGTGGTTTTTCCGGTTGTTGTTTTCGCGGTGCTTGGCTCTATGGAAGTCTTAGTCGTAGTTGTCTTTCGGGTTGTTGGGTCTGTTGTAGATTTCAAGGTGGTTGTCTTATGAGTCGATGGCTCCGGTGTAGTACTAGGTGTCGTTGTTCTCTCGGTAGTTGGCTCCGTGGTAGTTTTTGTAGTAGTCGTCTTCTGGTTCGTTGGCTCTGTTGTAGATTTAATGGTTGTTGTTTCTTGACTCGTTGGCTCTGTGGTGGTTTTTCCGGCTGTTGTTTTCTCGGTGTTTGGCTCTGTGGAAGTCTTAGTCGTAGTTGTCTTTCGGGTTGTTGGCTCGGTTGTAGATTTCAAGGTGGTTGTCTTATGAGTCGATGGCTCCGGTGTAGTACTTGGTGTCGTTGTTCTCTCGGTAGTTGGCTCCGTGGTAGTTTTTGTAGTAGTCGTCTTCAGTGTCTGTGGCTCTATTGTAGATATTAATGTTGTTGTTTCTTGACTTGTTGGCTCGGTGGTGGTTTTTCCGGTTGTTGTTTTCTCGGTGCTTGGCTCTGGGGAAGTCTTTGTCGTAGTTGTCTTTCGGGTTGTTGGCTCGGTTGTAGATTTCAAGGTTGTTGTCTTATGAGTCTTTGGCTCCGGTGTAGTACTTGGTGTCGTTGCTCTCTCGGTAGTTGGCTCCTTGGTAGCTTTTGTAGTAGTCGTCTTCTGTGTCTTTTGGTTTGTCGTAGATTTAACGGCTGTTGTTTCTTGACTCGTTGGCTCTGTGGTGGTTTTTACAGTTGTTGTTTTCTCGGTGTTTGGCTCTGAGGAAGTCTTAGTCGTAGTTGTCTTTCGGGTTGTTGGCTCGGTTGTAGATTTTAAGGTTGTTGTCTTTTCAGTCGTTGGCTCCGGTGTAGTACTTGGTGTCGTTGCTCTCTCGGTAGTTGGCTCCTTGGTAGTTTTTGTAGTAGTCGTCTTCTGTGTCGGTGGCTCTGTTGTAGATTTAATGGCTGGTGTTTTTTGACTTGTTGAGTCTGTGGTAGTTTTTCCGGTTGTTGTTTTCTCTGTGTTTGGCTCTGTGGAACTGTTAGTTGTAGGGGCCTTTGGGGTTGTTTGCTCTGGTGTAGCCTTTGTTGTTGTTGTTTTCTCGGTGGATCGCTCTGTGATAGTCTTTGTAGTTGTAGTAGTTTTTGAAGAAGTTGTCTTTGAGGATGTTGGCTCTGTTACAGATTTAATGGTGGTTGATTTTTGGGTTCCTGGCGCTGTCACAGACTTAGCGGTTGTTGTTTCCTGTGCTGTCGAGTCAGTGGTTACCGAATTTTGAGTTGTTGGTCCAAAATCTGGACCATATGGACATCCCGGAAGGAAAGGATATAACCAGCAGTAATCAGGAAACTTTTGGGCGGACTCTGTGGCTGAGTCGTCCAGTAATTTTATTTCACTTCCGTCAAGTCCTGCATTGGCAGTTTGGTGAAGTACAAACAAAATCAAACATTTTAAAATGACCTGCAATTGGAGAAAATACTTGCATTGCGGGGACCTAAAGTATTTGCGACTTACCATTTCAACTTTTCGAGAAAGACTCTGGATATTTGAGCCTCAACTCGTGTTTAAATAGGAAGCGAAAGGCAACACATCGCAGCGGCCTGATAACCTCTGTGAGGGTCTAAGTTGAACACAGGTCAGAAACTAAGTGTTGGTCACTGTTGTAAAACATAAAGATAATCTTCTTGATTGTTGGTGCATTTAAAATAGAACATTTTATGTCTTTACATTAGCTTGTATGTAAGGACAATTTTAAGGCACGTTAATTCTCTTTAAGTGTATTTTGAAATTATTGTTATATGTTTAATAATTCCTAACGATATTCAAGCTCCGTTTTATTACTTTGAAATACAAAGGAAAAGTAATTGCTTGTAATTTGTTTCCCATATTTAAACATGTTTGCTGCAAAAAAACATTTTTTTATCCACTTTTTGACTAGCTGTGATTTATTACACATAAATATATGGATTCACATTAAAGTTGAGCCTTAGATTATAGCAGAGTCCGAAGATATCGGATCGCATCGTCCGATCTCATTTGGTTCTGGGCTTGGTGTGCAAGTCTCGGGTTAGTTTCTCTCTATTGCTGGTGCCGAAATAAATATTGCTTATGCCTAGGTAAGAGTATGATAAGATAAATAGAACAGAAGTTTTCCAGGCCCTAAATGCAATGCGACAACAGAAACTGATGGTGTCTTGATGATTGCACAGTGCACGAATCCCCGTCTTGGTCCCAGGTCCCGATGTTGTTCGGGTTTCAAGATCTAATTGTTAGTGTGAGTGTAGTAGAGAACCGTATTGCCGGGCAGCTGCCAGTGGGAGGCTTTTAGCTCGATGAGCTGGAGAAGAGTGCGCCGAATGGACGCCGCTGATTCTCCGGCATTGAGGAAGGCATCGCGAACGAGACCCATGAGTAACTCTAGTTGCTGTGGCAGTTGCTGCTCCATGTCCTGGCCAATACAGGTAAGCACATAGAACAGGCACTCAACCTGGTGGACAAATTACATTCAATTAGTCAGCTAATCAAAAATTCTAATTACAAACCAACCTCTGAGAGAGATCTTATGGGTGGGCGCACGCAGTCCTCGCAGCACTTGGACAGCAGACTGAGCAGGACCAACGGTGGAGGAGTGCCCTCGTGGTGGGTGCGCAGTTGGATTTGCCGGCGCTTCAGTTGGCAAAACATCTCCGTGAGGAAGGCCATAAAGGCGGTAAAACGAACACGGGATGGCGACTTCATGCCCTGAATGGCAAATAGCAGCTGGTAAAATCGGTAGAATTATTAATGCAATGTTTTATACGATTTTTTTCAAGTAATATATAATCACATACCTTTTCTCGCTCCTGGTACCACTGACGACATGTGTTGAGGAGTGCCTCCAGGAACGTCTCCTTCTGTTCCCGGGCGATGATGTTCAGACATAGCCGAGAGATTGGTAGGGCGAAGCGGCGACTCTCCACCGCACGCTTGATGAACTGTGATGTCAGTTCCATCAGACACCGTGAATTCAGTTTGTTCGGATCCTCCAAAGCCGTCTCAATCAGCGCCTGGATCTCTGGGGTGAACTGTCCAATGTCGGCCACCTCGTTGCCCAAACCCAAGCCCAATCCGGCCATTCCCCTGGTCAAGGCATCCGCTGAAGACAAAGATTTGGAGCGTTGCAGCGCATTTCCATTCATGTATGGATCGATTCCATTAAGATTCGCTTGGTAAGGTTGTCCATAGTTGTTGTTAAGCTGACCAAACTGATTATGGGTGGCCACTTTGTGACCTCTGGGCTCGGGAGCAAACTTCACACGATTAGTTGTCTGCAAAAAAAATACGAAACAGTTTAAAAAAGGTTTTCCTAAAATATATATTCAAAAATAAACATATTTTGAAAAATTTGCGAGAAAAGTTAAATTTAAAATATTCTGTATTAATTGAATATTTATGTTTGGATCAAAGAATATATTTTATTAAATTCTTAAGAATTTTCGTTTAAGGTGATTTAAGTAGAATATCGTCTAAAACGATAAGTAATTTCAAAATAGGACCACATTCTTACAATGCTGCCATAGAAATGAGGTGGTCAATTAAGGATTAAACTATGTATTAATGTTAACCATAATTGCAAGTGTATAAAAGTTTTTACTATTTTTTACATATTATACCCTTGCAGAGGGTATTATAATTTTGGTCAGAAGTTTGTAACGCAGTGAAGGAGACGTCTCCGACCCTATAAAGTATATATATTCTTGATCAGGATCACCTCCTGAGTTGATATAGCCATGTCCGTCTGTCTGTCCGTCTGTCTGTTTCTACGCAAACTAGTCTCTCAGTTTTAAAGCTATCGAATTGAAACTTTGCACACACCCTTCTTTCCTTTGCACGCAGTATATAAGTCGGAACGGCCGGGATCGACCGACTATATCCTATAGCTGCCATATAACTGATTGATCGGAAATGCCATAACTTTCGTGTTTGTAAAGTTAGGAAGTTGAGATTTTCTATGGGTTTTATATTTGGCCAATCAATCCGACCTATCAAATTTCATAAGGATCGGCCGACTATATCCTATAGCTGCCATATAACTGATTGATCGGAAATGCCATAACTTTCGTGTTTGTAAAGTTAGGAAGTTGGGATTTTTTATGAGTATTAAGAATGCATTATATGAATAATTTTGGAGAATATAATTTACAGAGTATTCTGCAAGGGTATATCAACTTCGGCTCCGCCCGAAGTTAGCTTTACTTTCTTGTTTTTCCTTAAATAGAGCTTACATGCAGTATATTGCCACTAGAGGGCGAGTTCAAGAGGGGCAGCTGACCGCCGAGGGCACCGGCACTGATTGGATGCGTCACCAAGATCGAGCGATGGTGGTTGGCCTTCAGACCTGGCATGCTGCCGACGGAGAATCCGGCCTGGCGGCGATTCACGTTTCCATACTGACCCATAACCGGAGCAACTCCGGGTCCATTGGTGGGCGGAAAGATCAGCGACGAACTGGAAGAATGTTGTATACTGTAGTTTAGCTCTGCAAGGAGACGGGAAGAGGGGTAAACAATGGCATTAAATGACTTTGCTTTACCGATTGCTGAGTGCCTCGGCCGGTGCCCCGTTGCTGCTTGTCATTGTAAACTCCTGGGCATTGACGTTCAGCTTGTTGGCGACACCACCGGGAGCACCACTTGCACCATCACCACCGCCACCACCGGCTGGAGCAGCCAGCTCTCCGCGCACATCTGAGACAGAGTCATATGGGTTTATGTGGGGAGGGGGTCGAGGTGCCCAAGAGTGTATGTAATGATGTGAGGGGCAGGACAACATTGTGTGGAGGGGCGGAATGGACAGGGTATGAGACAGAGATATGAAAAGAATCAAAAGAAAAATGTGGTCTCAGTAAGTAATCGTTGAAACTGATAAGCTTGCAGCGAAAAAAACAGAGCACCAAAGCTGAGCTGGCGGAAAGTCATCCCTAACTGAGATCGAAAACTATACTACAAGTCTTGGAGTGTTCATTTTTAAATATAAATTGATGCCCCTTGTTCTACTTTATCTTACGTTTCAAGGTATAGAATAATCTACGTAGGCGCCAAAATTATGGTTTTAACTTTTAGTTATTTTATATAAGTATCGTAGTTTGTCACCTTCCTGAGGTAAATGCATCCATCTACAACTGATTAACCTGATGTGTCTAATTTGATATGAATGAGTTCACAAATCGCGTATTAAATAACTATCAGTAAAAAAATACGATTAAAAGCCAATAAAGCTGACAATTGTGTTGTGTGATTTATTTCTATAACTTTTAAGCACGGAACACCCCGCCAAGCACCCAAGCGAAGAGGAGAAGTTCTAAGGAATGACTAAAATAACTCACTTGGAGGTCTGTAAATATCCATAGCGGGTTTGCCCCTCATCTGTCCCGTCTGATTGCCAGGTACGTTGAAAGCCAGACTTCGGCGTTTGTTGATATTCTGAAACCGCACCCGCAAATATGGTTACTTTTGGATATCGATATGGCTGGCGACAACTCACCTGTTGATTCGAGGTGCGCACAAAGCTGCGTTCCCGGGAGATAACGCCGGGCATCATGGGCTGAAACTCAGGTGACTTGCGCACCTTTCGGGGATCATTCTGTTGGCCGTTCAGGCTGGCCTGGGCTTGTTCGACTTTCTCGGCCATCTTTTGATTTTCGAGTACTGCCTCTGCTCTATTTAGGTAAACTTAATTGAAGATGAAAGCCTAATCTTTGGTAGATTATCCTCCGGTTAATCGGTTTACAACTGGGATTCCGTGGAATAATCGTCTAAATATGTGGCTTTAGTATTTGAGTAAATTTGTACATATCACAATAGTTGGTTTCCGTTCCTTCTTTTCCTTACTTCCTTTGTCGAGTTGAGTTCTCTTCTTAATACGATGTGAGGGATATGTTCCCTTTTTGCAGATTCAGATTGCCGGGTCTGTAATGCAATAAAAAGTATCCGTGAGAAATCAAAGCTTCAGCCCTGAGCCAAGCCCATGACATGTTCACCTACTCATATATCAAGTAAAGATACACAAAATCCGCGATTCGAGAGGGAGGCACAAACTACTTGATCTCTTTGAGCAACCGGCTTTATGGCCGAGCGTAGGAGTTGCATCTGGTTTGGGGCCTCTGGCTAGAGCACTAAGTTTCCGAGCATGACATCAGCCTCCGAGTAATTCTTATTCTGCGGCCCACAAGGAGTCCGGAGCGATTCTTCGCGAAAGATACATACAACTAGTACAGTCTTACCTCTAAAACTATCATTTAAGAAACCTTAGGCTCAGAGTCTTTAAGTTGGATCCAGTTTTATTAAATTCAGCGTTTACCATCCGAAAAAAAAGTTTAAACCTTCATAAATGAATCTTTGTTTAAGTTTTTTTGAGGCCTTTAAGTCTAGAGGTCAAGGAAAATCCTACATAAGGTAGTCCGACTGTAAGTGACTACTACCTCAACTATGTGTGTGAACTTGCCTCGTTAATTGCTCGACAGTCTATTCCCAGATTAGCAAACAGAGTGTTCGGAATAAGCTGGGCCTGGATTTATGAATCAGCAGTGGCTGTGGATACTCACCTTTTAGTGCAAAAATATTTCTTCCAAATTGTTTCGTTGTTGCTGCTGCTGCTTGAGCTTTTGTTTATCTCTCTATAAAGTATATAGATGGGTTTGTTTGTGCGTTGCTATTCGTCGATTCGATTGCTGGTGGTGCTGCAGCTTAGTTGTTCGTATAAAGATATTTATCTACTTCGTAGATACGCTCTTTCGTGTCTCGTTTAATAATGCTTGGCATGCGCCAAGTCGAGCCATAAGAAGTGCCAGAAATAATTAATATTTCAAAGCGGCCCTCCACGCCCCAATATTCCGAATAGGCAGGAATACTAGATGGTTATGGATTGCGGCCTTCCAGATACAGATACAGCGGCAAATGCAAAGACACACAGATACACTTATACGCACAGTGATCACAATTGATTGTAGTGCCTATTGTTGTTGTTTGGGGCTGCTGTGCGAGCGAGAGGGCGCGATGAGTCAATGAGCGGGTGGCTCGTTAAGTATACGCACCGTTGGTATCGTCTATTTTTGGTTTGTCGCTTTGTGCTGCTTGTTCTCGGCTCGTTGTGCTCGTCAATTATTACAATTCCGTTTAGTTTTTGTTCGCTTTATTTTCGTTCGTTTTCTTTTTGTGTGATTTTTCTCTCTTTTAATGCAGATCGCTCGCTGTAGTTTTATTGTTCGGATTACTCACACTTACACATACGGTCACTACACGCATACATCGCCAAAGTGGGGGATTATTAATTCTTATTTATATTTATTTCATGTTTAGCCTGCACGCGCTGTTTGTTTTCCCCGACTTGTGCGCCGTATTCTTTGGCAATTGCCAAAAATTGCTCACATGTGCCGCCGCATCTATATTTATAGTATATGACAGTGCTGCGAATGATGACTGTATCGCAGCACCATGTAGATACATCTATAAACCTATATGCAGTTGGCGTTGCTTCCGTTTCCGCTAATCAAAAACAATAACAACGGATGCGCAAAACAAGAAATAAAAGACTGTATTTCATATTATTGGCCTGATTTATTTAGCATTTTAGTGACCGCCGCGGCAATATGATTTCCGCTCGCAAACTGTTTGTCTATTTTTAAATAGAATTCAAGAAAGAATTCGGGGAGGAAACTTATGTACTCGGCATGAATCACATAATGGCGGCGCGGACTTAACTCCCGAATCGTTGGAGCAAAGTAGAAAGGATCGGGATTGGGATTAGATTAAAATATATTTAGTTACAGAACTCGACTTGCGATATCTCGGTTTGGTTTTAGTTTTACTTTAGGTTTTCATGGGTTCGTTGCTGTCGATCGAGACACTATATCTGCGGGGTATATCTATTTATCGATGTACGCCGTATTATGTAGGCATGTATATTCGCACGTATGTATGGATGTGAGTAACGCTGCTGACTGCTACACTGGGCGCAGGCTTTAACTTAAAAATTAAATCATCGGCGCGAGCGATCAGTTGAAGACTAAAGACTTGATGAATCGCCCTGCCGCGATCGCAGCCGAAAGCTCTTCAAAACAGTTGTGCTCTCTCGATTCCTCGGTTCTCTTTTCAGCACACGAATGAATAAAACTCGTGGGGAAATGCGAGAGCGATCCGCTGAGGGTTGTCAAGTTACTCGAACAGCTAATAAAAACAGAAAACAAGATCGACTTCGTACACAAATGTTCTTTATCCTTATAACAAGAGTTTCAATTCGATACATAAAATCTTACAGAAAGGAAAACTATGCAAGATGACAAATCAATTAAACAAGAATATAAACTTGTCTGCCTTGGTTTATCGTGGAAATGTTTTTGATACTAGTGAAAAACAATTGTCGCCTTATCGTTGACAAACTACTAACTCAATTTATGATCCACTTTCGGCTTACCTCCCGCCACATCTCACGATCCTTGCACACAAGTTTAAATAAAATATAGGAGGTATAAATACAATATTGATCGGTAAGATTAATTTAAAAGATTTTAACACAATTAGAAAGCGGTTGGAGGCTTAGGCTTTGTTGAACCAATGCTGGCGAGAATAAATACGGAGGTGGGGACAAGGACGAGAACGACGGAAACGAGGATGCCTACTTGGCGGGCGAGGCTATGGAGTTGTTCAGTGAGTTGTTTAGCTGCTCCTCCTGATCCTTGTCCAATCCAAGGGCAGTGGTCAGCAGCTTGACCACACAGCGCTGCTCATGCACCTCGCCCTTCTCGTTAGACGTTATGTCCTTTTCTAGCTTTAGCTTCTCTTCGGCGGCCATCAGGATGCCCTCCTCGATGGTACTCTCGGATATGAGTCGGTAAATGGTCACCGGACGCTGTTGTCCCATGCGGTGACACCGATCCTCGGCCTGCTTATCGTTGTACGGATTGAAGTCGATATCGTGAATGATGCAGGTGTCGGCAGCCGTCAGGTTGATGCCAACGCCCCCGGCTTTGGTGGAGAGCAGGAACACGAAGATGCTGTCGTCCCCATTGAAGTCGGTGATCAAGTCCTGGCGCACATTTACGGCGGTCGCTCCGTCCAGGCGGCAGAAACCGAACTTTCGTATCCGCAGATACTCCTCCACAATGTCCAGCATCATGGTGAACTGGCTAAAGAGCAGCACACGGTGGCCCTCCTCCTTCAACTTCGGAAGCAGCGCATCCAGGTACTCGAATTTCCCGGAATCGCAGATCAAATTGTCGGGTATCTTCACGTCGTAGAACTCCTGGGAAACGCACAATTTTATATATTTTTAATTTACATTTTCTTTAAAAGGAACTCACATGCTTGTTGCATAGCTGATACACCTGAAAGTCTGACATGACAGCCAGCTCCTCAAAGATGTATTGCTCGTTGGTCTTCTTGTAGGAACTGGCACTTGCCAGCCGCTTTGAGAATCCACGCAGATTCTGGTCGGTGAAATAGTGACGCATCAGCAGTGGATGGTTGGCAATGCGGCGCATTTCCATCATGATCGCTATGCCGGCCCGTTCGCTGCTGCTGCAGACCTCGCCTTTGTTGTTTGAATAATACTCGACCAATTCGTGATAGTAGTGCTTTTGTTGAGTGCTCATGGATACTTTTTCCTGCAGTTAAATGTCGAATTTATTTATTTAAATAAAGGGTTTGGTCTGACAAATTGTACTTACCACCAGACTTAGCTTCTTGGGCAGGTTTTTAAGGACATCTTTTTTAAGGCGCCTGAGTACAAACGGCTTCATAATGCGCTTGGCTCTCTGGATCTGTGTTTCCTGGAATTGTGACACCTCCTCCTGGTCGCCATCCGATTTTCCCTTCTGCAAAAAGATTATTGTAAATTGTATTGTTTTTGTTTTACTTGTTTTGTCTCACCTTGACGAACAACGATTTGATGTCCTCGATGCTCTTAGCAAAGAACTTGGGCATCACAAAGCACAACAGAGAGATGAGCTCTAGCAGATTGTTCTGCAGCGGAGTTCCGGTGAGTAGGATGCGCATCCTGGCATTGATGGTTATAAGATTGGCATAGCGTTGCGTGGTCATGTTCTTCAACATGTGTGCTTCATCGAAGATGACGTAGTCCAACTTGCAAACCCGAAACATTTTTCTCTCCTCGGGCGTAGATCCAACAATGTGGTAGCTGTTCAAAAGTACAAAAAGAATTTGAAAGCTTAGATTTTCGATGCCTTTCGGATTACTTACGTAGTTAAAAGAACATCGAAGCCAGTGAAGCCATCCTTAGCAAAGCGCCCCCGCATTCTACGCCGTTCGTCCTGCGAGCCGTGATACTTTTCCACCACCAGTTTGGGGCACCAGCGGCTGATCTCCGCCTCCCAGTTATCCAGCGTGGACGAAGGAACCACAATCAAGTGGGCCGCCTGGCTAAGACCATTCTCCTTAAGGTAAGCCAGAAATGCAATCACCTGAATTGTCTTGCCAAGACCCATTTCGTCCGCTAAAATGCCATTCATTTCCTGTTTATGCATCACCGTGAGCCAGTTAAGACCAATGATCTGGTAGTCAGCCAACATGAAGCTGCAAGAGAAAAGAATTAATTTATAAAGTCCTTTGGGGAGAACTTAATTAGTACTTACCCGGTACTAAGAATCTTAGGCTGCTCTACAATTCCCGCACCATTGGAGATCGCCTTCTCCAGGCGTGATACCATGTTGTTACACTTGCTCAGAATGGTGGCTACCGTATTCTGCTTGTTGATCAACTCTTGGGCATAGTTCAGAAGATCACCCGACATCCTGATGCTCTCCAGCTTTTTGCGCAGCCCGGCCCAATCACTAAAAGGTCTCACTTCCAAGATGGCCAATGCTTTCTTTTCGGACAGCGTCTTAACTGACTGCAGCTCAATGAGGGAAGCCTCGTTCATGAACTGGAACACCTTTTTGCGTTGTCCAGTCATCTTGGTGGACATTTCAGTGTCACTGTCATCGCTGTCGTACACCTGATCCTTGGAGTGCTTCACATCCTCGTCGTCCGAGTGGTCGTTATCCGAGAAGTGGCCTTGTGAGGTTCCGCTAGTCCCATTTGAGCTGGGCTTCAGCTTTGGCTTGACCAGCGGCCCATTCTGGCTTTTGGGCTTGCAGTTCTCCCGTAGGTAACGCACAGATGCGGCCACATCCCAATTGGTGCGGGAAAGTGACTCTTGAATAGCCTATGAATAAATTTAAAAATTCATTTTTTTCTGATAAGGAGTGAAAGGTGTAGATGTAAACTGAACTACCTATAAACAAACCCCATAGCAGTTTAAAACTATAAAAATATCAAAGTTGGAAATAAATAAATTATCGTCTTAGAAGTCCTTATTCAAATAAGCATCTAAATATCAATTATTTTCTGTTCTAGTTTGAACCAACTTGCGTGACCGTTAAACATTTCTTGTGAGCAATTTCAATTATGTCGATATCGTTAACTGGAATATAAAGGCAAAACGGAATCTTTAGATTAAGGGGAATCTAAAGAGGGTAATATCAACCGTGGTGCTTTTGAGTATTGAAGCTTTTTCTGTAAGTATAATGAAGAGTTGTTATTGTTTTATGGAATGATCGCTTGGTCACTGATTAGAGTCTGGGGAAATATTGTTTTGTAAATGGAATAATCAATTTAATTTTTAACTTCAATATTCAAACAAGGTTGAGGACTTAATTTACTTAAAATGAGTATAATTATTCAAATACTTAAGGATAGGTTTTAAGCTATATGTGACATTTGAACGATAAACTAATAAAAACCGAAGATATTGGCTGTATTGAATTTGCTCACTATTTTTTATTTAATATATTCATATTTTCTTTCTAATTTGAGTTTCTCAAAATTGTTATTAAAACAAAAAATATAATACATTGACAAAATAATATAATATAAGACAAATAGTTTATGAAATACATTTTTCTTTTATTTTTAATTGAAAAGGATATTAGTATTTTTATAGAAAATAAAATATATATTTAAAATCATAATCATTTATTTAAAAAAAAATTGGCAACAAACAAGTTTAAGGAATATTTTATCATTCAGAAAAGGTAAAACAGGTAAGTAAGGAACTGTTATACAAGAGGAATGGAGGTTTCCACCCCCGTTAGCGACGCCCCTGGCTAACCGACAGCTGTTCGCAACGCCGGGCCCGAACCCAATCGCCATGTTCCGCAAAACAGACGCATGAACGCGCGCTTCCCCGCCTTTCCCCCCACCTTTAACACTGGATTTTGGAACACCTACCATTGTGTCAAACTGCGGCGAGATCTTCGCGGCCGCCATGTATCGCTCCTCCTTCTCCTTGACGGTCAGCTCCAGCTTGGTCTTCTTCGGCGTCTGCGAGTCATTTCCGTCGCTGTCACTATCGGCCATCACCTGGATGCGCTTCTTGCCGGGCACACGTTCTGAAAACAGGCATTTAGTCACCGGGTTTACCACTCGGAAATTTAGCTCTGCAAGTACCAGTTTTCGCAGGACACGGGGCGACAGAGGCGCTTTTGTTGATGCGAAACTGTCGCAGGTCGCTGAGACTCGACTTAACGGGCGAGGGCGCGGACGCGGATGCTGCCACTGGGCTGTCCGACATCGTGGGACAAGGCGGAACGCTTCCTGGCAATCTGTCTATCCTTATTCACGAATTTTGTTTGCAAGTCCTATGATCGTGAGGTGGTATTTGTGAAGTTGTGCATGCTAGTGCGACCGTAGTGCTCAGGCCCAAAAACCTGGAATAGAGCACCTTTGGTCACACTTTACCGCCGATTTAAAAGTTAACATCCCAGGTTGGTATGATTTGTGACATTAAAAGGGTATCTGGATTTGATAATACAATAAAAAACTTAATACACTAATTAGGGTGTTACGACTAAATCTTATACATTTTTAGCATTTGAGTTCCCTCAATCCTGTTGAATAGTCAATTAGCTGAAACACGTAACTGAATTAATTTTTAATTTAACCGCTGTAAACTATGAACAATTAATATTAAAATGGATTTCATGTAAATATATTACACAGTTAAGCCAACATTAAAAATAAATAAAAACACTTTGATTTTCAACGTTTCAACAGCCTAGCGGTTGCTTAAATGGTGAAGTTTTTGAAAATTGAATTTGTCGGAACAGTTGGCAAACGTAATTGATAACCGAAATTCTACGATTCAGTCGTTTAGGTTTAAAATTACTCTCGTTTTTCAAACTTTGGATTGTACTTCTTTTGAATACCGCCAATCACGTCGAAAAATAGCTACATTTCGGTAGAGCTGCCAGATGCGCAAAAGTAATCGATTTATCGCTTCTCTCACCCGACAATCGAAACTTCGCGACGCGTTGCAACCCTTGCATTTTTTCGCTTGCTCTTGTAGGTAGATTGAAAACATTTTTATTGCAAATAAGCCGAAAATACCCGAGGGCGAACCGAGAAACTGGCAAACATGGCTGGCGGCAACACCCCGCGTGTGATCCAGGTGACCAACATAGCGCCGCAGGCCACCAAGGACCAGATGCAGACGCTGTTCGGCAACATTGGCAAAATAGAGGAGATCCGCCTGTATCCGACAATCCGGGACGTCTCCTGTCCGGTGCAGTCCCGCATCTGTTACGTGAAGTACACGGAGACGACCAGTGTGCCGGTTGCCCAGCACCTGACCAACACGGTGTTCATCGATCGCGCCCTGATCGTGATCCCGGTGCTGGCCATTCCCGAGGAGTACCGGGCCCTGGAGATGCTCAAGAACGGAACCATTGTGCCAGGCCTTCAGAAGCCGGACTCCAAGCTGCCGCCGGAGGTCATCAACCGCATCGAGGGCCAACTGCCGCAGCAGGTGATCAAGACGTACGACCCCAAGCTAGTCGAGTTTAATCTGCCGGAGTACCCCGCCCTGCCCTCCTTTTACGATGGCCGCAAGATAGAGGAGATCCGCCGCACCATCATCGTGTGCGACGTGAAAAACGAGTGGCGCCTGGATGACCTGATGGACTGCTTTCAGCGCGCCGGCGAGGTGAAGTACGCTCGTTGGGCAGAGAAGGACAACAAGACGTACTGCATGATCGAGTTCTGCGAACAGACCAGCATTATCCACGCCCTCCGTATGCAGGGCCAGGAGTTTAAGGGCGGCCACCTGAGCGTCTACCACTCCACCTACTCAATAACCAAACCGGAGGCCAAGTCCAATGAAGCAGCCCAGGCGGAGATCGAAGAGGCCATGACTATTGTAAAGGAGGCGCAGAGTATGATCTCTGCCGCCATTGACCCGGTGATTGGTATGCTCGCCAAGGACAAGCGGCGTAGGTCGCGATCACGTTCTCGTTCACGTGAACGTCGCACTAGTCGCTCCCGCTCGCACCGTTCCACATCGAGGCGGCGTTCAAGGCGATCTGGCTCCAGGGAGCGGCGCAGTGTGTCCCGTTCCCGTCGCTCACGCTCGCGGGGCAAGCACTCATCCCGATCCCGCAGCAAACGCTCTAGATCCCGGCATCGTCGCAGCACTTCGCGCTCCAGGAGATCCCGCTCTCGCGGCGGCAAACACTCTCGCTCCTCAAGATCGCGTGGCAAGCGTTCTAGGTCCCGCCATCGCCGTAGCACCTCGCGCTCCCGCAGCTCACGTTCCCACGGAGCTGGAGGAGGGGGCAGTGGAAACGGCAAGCGATCCCGATCTCGCGAGCGCAGCAAGAAGTCGCATCGCAGCGAGAAGCGCTCGTCGCGTTCACCCCGCTCCAGGAGCAAGCGCAGCTCACCATCACCGCCGCCGGCAACCAGCAGCAGCAAGTCACGCTCCAGTCGCAGCAAGGACCCGGCTCTAGTGTCCTCCAAGTCATCGCGGCGGCGCGACCGCTCACGGACTCCAGAAGCACGCAAACTGAAATCCATCTCCGAGGACTTGGAAGTAAAGAGCTCACGCTCCAGCGCCGATTCAAAGTCACGCAAATCGGTGAGCGTTGAGAAGTCGGACAACATGGACATCTCCAACTCCCCCTAGACATATAGAGATTGAACACTATTTTCTAACAAATACAAAACTTAAGAGCCCTTTTCTGCATTATAACCCGATACCAATTATCTTCAATGAGATTTGTATTCCAACCACACTCTGTCCTAGTTCCCAAGCATAAAGTATATTTAAAAATGCAAATTTTTCGCATTCTTTACTCAAGGGAAGCCTTAAGAAATGGCAGGAATAGCTGTTGCTATGAGAAACATTTACGATCGTTTAGCACACCCTGCATCTCTTAGTTTCTTACTGAATATAGCTTGATTATTTCTTGGGACCCCTTAAAATAAAATCTGATTTATACATAAACATAATTACTAAGCATATAAAAGATTTTTGAATAAACAATTTCTTTTGTATGTCAGAAAAGATACTTTATGCTTGATTTTGTAGATTAAAATCGACTCGCTGAAAGCCACAAAGTATAACCACCATTTTTGCGCAGTGCATACTACAGCTGAAGTTTTGTGGGCTTGTCTCTTTTTTACCAGAGAAACGCCGGGAAAAGCTTTAGAGCTTTCATCCAATAATATGTCGGCGATAGCGGCGAGTCGCGACCAGAAGTCGAGAGTTATTGCAACGCGGTAGTCGCTTTTTCTTGTATTAAATTATTTTTTATTTTAATAAAAGTGAAAAAATCACAAAATGTCTGCAGCAACTAAAGGTAAATTTGTGCACCCATCTGGATATGACAATACTCAACCCTTCTAGGTGCGAAATGATCTTGGTTAGCAGTCTGAACTTTGGACCTGTTGATGTCTTATCTGATGCTACCCCCCCGCACTGAGCCGGTTGCACTTTGGACCTGTTGAATCGAAAACAAAAATCCGCTTTCGTTTATTGCTAAATTTGTGCTATCACTCTTTGCCTACGCACATTATATGTATGTTCTACATCTGTACGATTGTCTGTCCTATATAAGGTATCTATATTGTGGCTGCCAAGCGCACGGCCTTTGGAACCTTCGGTGGATCCTTGAAGGGCATCAACCAGACCCAGCTGCAAACCACTGCGGCCAAGGCTGCTCTGGATGCCGCTGGTCTTAAAGGAGAGCAAGTGGACACCGTCATCGTCGGAAATGTGATTGCGGTAAGTACTATGTGACTATATGTTCAGTTTACAAAAGCATTTTAAGATATATTTTATCTTTACCTTTGAAACATTAACATAATCCGAAGGATTACACTATATTAAGTGTATTATGAACCTAAAATGTACATACGTAAAAGTCTGCAGTCGTTATACATATGTATGTACATATGTATATCTATTCTAATAAAGACGGTTTGATTGAGGTCAAGGTTTGGCTTAGATTTAAAGTAAGAAAAAAAGAATTAATGTTTAGGTAAGAAATACAATATAATTTATTTTTATTTTTAATTAAGTTACAACTCAATACACAAGGAGGTAAAAAAAAAATTCCACCTCTTTTACCTCGCAGTCCTCCTCCACGGATGGAATTTACGTACCCCGCCATGTGGGTCTGAACTGCGGCGTGCCCATCGAGAAACCCGCCCTCGGCATCAACCGACTGTGCGGTTCCGGCTTCCAGTCGATCGTCAACGGAGCCCAGGACATCCTAGTTGGGGGTGCCAAGGTGGCTCTCACCGGTGGTGTTGAGAACATGTCGCAGAGTCCCTTCATCGCCCGTAACATTCGCTTCGGCACGACTTTGGGTGCCAACTATAACTTGGAGGACGCCCTGTGGGCTGGACTCACCGATACTTACTGCAAGCTTCCCATGGCGCTGACCGCCGAGAACCTTGCCGAACAGTACAAGATCACCAGGGAGCGCGTGGATGAGTTCTCGCTGTTGTCCCAGAAAAACTGGGAGAAGGGCCAGAAAGAGGGCGCCTTCGATGCCGAGATCACCCCAATCAAACTGAAGGTCAAAGGCAAGGAGGTAGACTTTGTGGTAGACGAGCACCCTCGTCCCAAGACCACCATCGAGGGTCTGAACAAGCTGCCTTCGCTCTTCAAGAAGAACGGAATTGTGACGGCCGGAACCGCCTCCGGAATCTGTGATGGAGCCTCAGCTGTGATTGTGGCCTCGGAGGAGGCCCTCAAGGAGTACAACCTGAAGCCTCTGGCCCGTCTGGTGGCTTTCTCCTTTGTTGGTGTTAAGCCAGAGATCATGGGTATTGGTCCAGTGCCCGCCATTCAGAATGTCCTGAAGGTTTCTGGCAAGAAACTGGAGGACATTGATCTGATTGAGGTAATCGACTTTAACTTTTAATTTTAAAATCGGAAATAAACTCTAAACCTTACAGATCAACGAGGCCTTTGCCGCCCAAACACTGGCCTGTGCCGATGCCCTGAAACTGGATCCCTCCAAGCTGAATGTGAATGGTGGCGCCATTGCTCTAGGCCACCCCCTGGGAGCCAGTGGCTCCCGCATCACTGGTCACCTAGTTCACGAGTTGCAGTGAGTTTTCGTAGGCCTACACCTTATCATGTCTTGTTATATAATCTATTTATTTTCCCAGGCGCAAGAAGCTGAAGTACGGTATTGGATCCGCCTGCATTGGAGGTGGTCAGGGCATTGCCTTGCTCCTGGAGGCTGTCTAATCCCACAGCTCTGGAACTCACCCTGCATTTACAACTAAATTAGTGCTACAAATTCCGCTTTGAAACTCTCCCGATAGTAATAAAGAGATTATTTTAACTTTACAATTTATTAAATCATCTGCGAATGGAAGTTGATCAGCTTTCTACAAGAAAGACAACAAGTTGGTGTTTATACTATAAAATTTCTATGCTCGCGCTGCTAAAAATGCCGATCGGGATGGGGCTGGCGGATGAAAAGGGGACCAGCCCGGTTTCCCAGGAAATCTCTTGAAGGGCCTTACATTACGAGTACATGAACTTGGGATGACATGGGGTCGCATTTGCTCAGTTCGTCTGGGCGCTGGTAGAGAAAAGCGCCAGGGCGCCGCTAGCGATGCCCACCGAAAAGATATAGTTGATGAATGGCGTCGAGTTCTTCAAGATGAAGAAGCTGATGAAGATAATCACGGCCAGGTAGATGGCGTTGTTGTAGAAGATGGAGAAGGTGGTGGCTTCGTAGTCGGCCACCTCGTTCTTCTTCCACAGGATGCGCTCGTCCTTCTCCTTGCGCGTGACCTTCTTGTCATCGCCCACCTGGCGATTGACCTCGCGGGTCACCGCCTCCTCCCTGCGGCCGGCGATCTTGTGCTTCAGCTGGAACTTGATGTTCTTGTAGGCGGTGGCCATCAAATAAGTGCTAGCAGCCGTCACCAGGACAAACAGGATGGAGCTGGGCCACAGATCCATGTTGTGGATGCGCCAGAAGAGCCCTGCAAAGCACCACTTCCATTCATCAAGTGTCCCAAAACATACAACGTGTCACTTTACTCACAGATTGGCACCGCCGACACGATGAACGCATTGCCGTAGAAGAGCGCCGAGGACTTGGTGCTGACGTTGCGGCTGAAGTCCTGCAGCAGCAGTTCCTCCTCCTTGGTGAAGCCAGAGGACTGCACTTTCTGTTGCTTGCCGGAGCCCATTTTTCGTTGGTTTTTCGTGGAGAAAGTAGCTACAAAGCGGAGACGAGGCAAAGACTGAGGTGAGGTGTACACGAATGCAAGAATGCTAGTTGCTTTCGGCACCGACGAATTGTGACGTGTAAACGTCAAAAGGCAGGGTTGCAATGCGGCTGTCAATGGCAGCCCTGGTAATTGATGGGCGATATCGTCTATCGACTCTGTGGCGCGGAAGTGAAATCTTTTATAATAGGTTCAAATAAAGTTGGAAAATACAAATTTTAGCGAAGTTTCAAAATCCCATAGAAATTATGGATTGATTTTACATCGAATTTATATACAAAGCTTATATTTGCAAACACAAATAAAACTATGTATATTAAACCATTTGATTTTTATTGTACAATTATTTTAATGAATTTAAGCATCGGGCCCAAAAATTTTGTCAGTAGTTTTAGACAAATTTAACTTTTTACTTAAAACTGTGTAGTTTTTTATAAAAAAGTGAGTGTTTTATTATTATATTTTGTAAATTAGTATTACCCCTGCGCAACAAGTTAAACATTAAATTTGTAACGCTAGCAAAGCAACATTTACTGTGCAAATCAAATAAAAAAGTTGTTCAATTGTGGTTTTAATTAGCAATGAAAATTACACAAAATTCACTTTTATATTGCCCTTAGGTGTATACAATTTTTTGGATAGATTAAGAATTCAGAAAAAAAAGAAGAAGATGTCTAAGAATGTGCGGTAAGCCGATTGTCCGTTTACCCCCCTTTGACACACCACTGACTATCGATAGCGCAACAGGTTCTGCGGCAGCTGCGTTTGCTTATTAAAATTTCTCCGTTTAAATAATAATAATAGGTGAACACAAAAACATCTTCAGACTTAGAGTTTTTTGTTTATTAATAATTTTAATAATTAATCCGAATTACATATCAATTTGTTCACATCTTAAGAAACTTAAGTAATAAAGGAGAAACCGGCATCCGTCCAAAGGTCACTCACAGTTGTTTACGTCTTTTGCTCATTTTAGCTTATAATGCTGCGTTCGAAAGTCCTGAGTTTGGTGGCCCGTAGTGGCTCCAACCGCCTGATGTCCACTGGCACAAAGTTGACCACAGTGGAGGTCAACGACAAGACCGGAATCGCCACCCTCACAATGAACCGGCCACCCGTAAATGGCCTGAACTTGGAACTGCTGCAGGATCTGAAGAGCTCTATTGATGAAATCGAAGGCAACAAAAGCCGCGGGCTCATTCTAACCTCGGTACGTATGACTTATAGTTGAATGGAACTTAAATACATTAATTACACTCCCGTAGTCCAGCTCCACAATATTCTCCGCTGGCTTGGATATCTTGGAGATGTACAAACCGGATAAGGACAGGATTCGAGCCTTCTGGACTCAACTCCAGGAGACTTGGCTAGCACTGTACGGCAGCAGTGTACCCACAGCAGCAGCCATCAATGTGGGTACCTCGGAAGCTGCAAGGACAATTTTTAACTGGTTTTCTTCATTTACTTAGGGCCACTCCCCCGCCGGCGGATGTTTACTGGCGACTTCTTGCGAGTATCGGGTCATGGTCCCAAAATTCACGATCGGCCTGAATGAAACACAACTGGGTATTGTGGCACCCAAGTGGTTCATGGCTACCTTCCTGAGCGTCTTGCCACAACGGGAGGCGGAGCGTGCCCTCAACCAGGGACGCATGTTCACCACAGAGGAAGCCCTAAAGGTGGGCCTCATAGATGAGACTGCCAACAGTAAGGAGGAAGCCATTGAAAAGTGCAGCGCCTTCATTGGCACCTTTGCCAAGGTCAATCCCCTGGCTAGGTCATTAACCAAGCAACAATTCCGGGCTGCTGATCTTCGGCAACTGGAGGACGGGCGGAAGGACGATCTGGAGAAGTTCCTTTTCTTTGTTAACCAACCTGCCGTGCAGAAGGGTCTGGGCATTTATCTTGAGGGCCTCAAGAAGAAGGCCAAAAAGCAATAATTAAAAGATTTAATACTTTTTATTAGTAATAAAAGCATTTTAAATCCAATTAATAAATTTTTTATATTTTCGCTTAATTTAAGTTTTTTATTGAATACAGAAATTTATGTATAATTAACAATAAAAGTAAACTAATTTACAATTTAATGCCTCTTTTAACCCACATGTTATATATTAATCTGTTTTGTAGTAAAGTCTAAAGAGTCTAGATACAATCTGTACTAAAAATGCTTTACTAGATAGTTCACCATTGTTTTACGTGTTTTTACTGTTGAAATCGGTATTTGAAGTTGATTGTATTCGATAATTCACAACCGGTCAGCTCGATAGATGATAACAATTGGCTGGAAATTTTCCATCGAAGATCAGTAGTTATTTAGCAGCTGTTGATAAGAATTGTTAAACTTAATTATAATACGTCTGTATTAGGTCAATTTTTAATTATTGGACAACTTTTAGATAATAACAACTTAACAACTTAAAAAAACCGAAACCAGTACAAAGGTCAAATTTTATACATATCAAGAAAAATGTTGCACCTGAATCTTTTGAGATTTTTGGTCCGCGGGGGTCAAAAAAGACTGATGTCCACTGCCACAAAGTTGACCACAGTGGAGGTTAACGACAAGACCGGAATTGCTACCCTTACAATGAATCGGCCTCCGGTCAATAGCCAAAACGTACAATTATTATTGGACCTGCAGTCTTCCATCAGCGAAATCGAAAACAACAAGAGCCGGGGCCTCATTTTAACCTCCGTAAGTGGTTCCATTTCATAAAGAATTATGTGAATAATATTTCAATTATTTGCAGGCAAGTTCCAATGTGTTTTCAGCTGGGCTGGACATCCTGGAAATGTATAATACGGACGAGGAGCGACTCCGAATCGTTTGATCGCGATTTTCTGGCTCCGTGTGAACTTCGCCTGGAAATGCTTAACCAGCTGATCGTTTCGGCTTGAGTGTTTGTTTTTTTTTGGTTCGCAACTCGACTTTATATATGATAAACAGGTTAATTTGTTTAAATTCCTGCCTGCCGCTCAGTGCGTGATTGCTGCTCCAAATCCGAAGTCATCGTAATGTTGCGTAACAGACTGATAGAAACAGCCCGCCGGATGAAACCCATCCTTTGCGGGGGGCAATCCCTGCGATCCCTCACACAAGGGGCTAACTCAAAGCTGACCACTATAGAGGTCGATGATAAGAGTGGAATCGCTACTCTATCGATGAATCTGCCGCCGGTGAACACTCTGACCATGGATTTGATGCACGACCTCATCGATTCGATCAATGAGATCGAGAGCAACAGGAGTCGCGGCCTTATCCTGACCTCGGTGGGTTGAGGCTCCGTAAAAACAATCACATATCATAAGTACCTCATATTTTACAGAGCAATGACAAGGTCTTCTCCGCTGGCCTTGATCTCAATGAGCTTCTGAATCCGGAAGTGGAGCGCTTACGGTTATTCTGGACCCGTTTTCAGGATTTGTGGCTGGCCCTCCATCTTTGTGGTATTCCCACAGCGGCAGCTATTAATGTAAGTCCAACTGTGGGGATAGAAATATACGTCTATCAAATAATTTATATTCCAGGGACATGCTCCTGCCGCCGGCTGTGTTTTGGCCACTGCCTGCGAGTACCGGGTGATGCTTCAAAATCGGTTCATCGGAATCCATGCCACCCGTTTCAGTTTCGTCATCTCTAAGTGGATGATGCTCTCGTACCAGAGCGTTTTGCCCCGCCGGATTGTCGAGCGCGCTTTGAACCAAGGTAAGCTCTTCCCCGCCGAGGAAGCCTTGGAGGTGGGTCTCGTCGACGAGGTCGTGTGCAGTAAGGAGGAGGCGCTGTCCAAGTGCGCCGCCTTTATAGCCACTTTCGACAAGGCTAATCCACTGGCCAGGACCTTAACCAAGCGAATGTGCCGTGAACCAGATGTGCAGGAGCTGCTAAAGGATCGGGCCGGCGATCTGAAGGAGTGCGTGGACTACGTCACTTCTCCACTTTTCCAGGAGGGACTTTGCAATCACCTCAAGGGCCTTAAAAGTAGGAAATAGAGGGGCTTCTAAAGCTAGGTGATGAAATTGCATTTATTATATATGTATATGGGTATTAAAGTTGTTAATCCGAAGGGGCTTCCCGGTGCAATTCCTCCGGCAGGTTGGCCAAAGCCTCTGTCATCATTTCCATAAATGAGTTGATCTCTAGAATCTTGGCACGATGTCGGTCTACTTCTTTGCTGTAAAGAAACGGATCTTATTGATACTTCCCTTTGAAATCGGTAGGGAACCCACTTTTCAAGCTTCAACATCATGTCATCTATAAACTCCCTGCTGCGTTGAGCCATGCGATCCTCGCGCTCATCCACCCGCGAAGTATGGGATGCCCTCATGCTTTCCACTAGCTGAAGGACTGCCTCGCGATCATCCACACACTTTCTCAGCTCTTTGGGAATGGCGCTTTGCTCATTGCGACTAAGCTTGCTGGAGAGGAAGTGGGTCACAATCTCCGTCATGTTGTCGGCAAAGTGACTGCAAAGATCTCGCAGCTGCTGGAAGATCACTTGAGCCTGCTCCACGAAGCTGGCCATTAGCTCCGAAATCGTGCGATTGAAATTCAGCGTGGAATCCTGTCGAGCAAATTTGTGTTATTTGGGCAAACAAACCAAGAGTACCATCTTCAGTTCACCTCAACAGCCTCGTGGAGATGAAGCTCCTGAGCCATAAGACTTTCCCACATCTCGTTCAGGGCATCCTCAAAATTGGCATTCAGGGTATCCAACTGGGCTTGTAAATCCTCCAAGTCTTCGTCGCGTTGGTCCAGTTCTCTCCATTTCAGCCGCATCTGGTCGAAAGTTTGTTCCTTGTATTGGAGGAACTTCTCGATTTGTCGTTGTCCCTGGGCTTGCAGCTCCTCCTGTCCTTCATGCAGGCTGGCCTTGAAGTCGCGAATCTCTTCATCCCGCTCACCGTAGCGCTCCAAGCCCAGGCGGTAGATCTGCTGGGTGAGCTCGTGCACATCCTTGGAATACTCCTCATAGAGCTCCTGTGCTTGTGCCCCCACCAACATCAGGATGCGACCGTCCTCGTCGTCTCGCCACAAGGACTCGTACAGCTGCTGACCATCCAGATGCTCCACAAAACTCGAGGCCAGCCTGTCAGCTTCGGCCATTTCCCGTGCCTCCGTTTCCAAGCCTTGGATTTCGCGCTCCTGTTTGTCCTCGATTTCGCGCAACTCGCGACTTTAATGGTTGGAGAAAATCATTACTCTTGGGATAGCTAAAGCAGGAAGCGACCACTTACTAGAAACGCTTTTGGGCCTCCTCCCTCACTTCTGCCTTGATAAAAACGTATTCGTAGTAGTTCAACTGGGGCAGGATGGCAGTTACATAGAGGGAAAGTGGGAAATCCGGCAGCTTAGCAATGGGATTACCCTCTAGGTTGAGCACTTTAAGGCTGCTCACAAAACGTAACCGTTCAATCTGGAATAAGCACACAAAAAAATTACTTTAATTTATAAATATATTTCGACACATTCTGAATTTTACTTTCAAATGACTTTTAGAAGACCCCTTAGCTTTTGTTTTAACATTACTTGTTGTTACAATTCCTTTGTCTTCATTTACTTTTGTTCTAATTATAACTATTAAAAAATATTCTATATATCTTAAATATCATGATTAAAAAGACTAAATTAACTTTAATTTCTTAAAACCTTACCCCATCTACCGTGTCGATGAGATTGTTGCCAATGCTGAGAATAACGAGATTCTCCAATGTTTGTATGTTCTCGATTCTCCGGATACGATTGCTAAATAGGGAAAGTTTTTCCAAGTTGACCAGTGTTTCCAGGTTCTCAATCCGTGTGATGTAGTTAAAGCTGAGATTTAGATCTTTGAGGGCAGTTAGCATTTCCAGATGCTCGATGACTTCGATTTTGTTGCAGTTCAAGCAGAGCTTAGTAAGATTGGGCATCATCCAAAGGTGATCAATCCGCAGGATGTCTGCATGATAAGTCCTTAGGTCAAGCTTACTTTGCATTACTCTTGAATTCTAACACTTACTCTTGAATTCTAAGCGCATGGTGGTGATGCGATCATAGACGACTGGTTCTAGTTGGTGGAGACGCCTTGCCTCTCCCTTTTGACCCTCCTCCAAAAAGGCGGTTTCTATCATTTGGCGATCTATGATGCCTGGTTCCGGGCAGTTGATCTCCTCCAGGAAGCCCCTCAGGGGCTCCTCCTCCTCCTTCTCCTCCGCTGCACTCTCACCTGACTGATTGATGACCGGCTCGTCCATTGTGTTGTCCATTGGCTCTAGCAGGATATACGATTAATCCGCGTGGTCCCCAAACGGACTCGAGCCGGGGTTGCCAGGGACAACCCACAAAACATGGCCCTGCCTAGTAACCGTCGCTCGTATTCCACCCTCAAAGACTTCGGGAGCAAGTGGAACCGCAGCCGGATACCCATTCAGCCGGCTCGGGGACCTTCGGCTCTCTAGCTTTCTCTCCCGGATCCGAAGGGTGGTCTACTTTGGGCTGCGGTTGCTTGGCTCGTCTCGTTGTTGTGGATATCGGGCCTGTCAGTTGTTAGTGTTTGCTTATCAAATAAACTTCTGTTCCGCGAGGATATCCGCATAGGGAGCAGTCATAAATCCCACTCAATTCGGACTAACACATAAAATCAAGAGATCTCTGATTCAAATGCAAATGCGATTAGGGTATGTGTAACATGGAACCCCGTGTTCATCCATCTTCTAGTGCTAGTTCAGAATGAAAAGAAGACCGAGAGGTCTTTTTGTCAACCACCAGTTCAATCGATAAAGTGACCCCGAACATTAAAGTTTGTTTGTTTGCTTGTACACGGTGCAAAAAGTCGCTTATCGGATATAGTAGTGCATATAGTAATCGGCTAATCGGGCGTCGGATGTGCGTGCCTAGAGTTTAAGTGAGTCAAATGTGAGTGGTTCAAGGCTGTGACGCAGAATTCAAGAAAAAGCCAGGTCGAAACGTGGCTTCAGTTGCCCCGAGACCGCCCCTTCCACCGAAACTTCAAACCAAAACAATCCATTGTGTGATACATATATACATCTAAATGGGATATTGAAGGTGGGAACGGTTCGCATACAATGAATAAATTATCGCCCAAGGAACTGAATTCGCCAAGTGACCACAATCCAATTACGACACATGAATATTCCAAATTGAGTGCAAAATAAATTGACTAGTTCCAAGCATTTACTTTATTGAAGAAAATGGGAAGGGGATATCATAGTATCAGGTCATATTAACTAAATCAATTTTTAATTCATACATGGTCTTCGCACAACCAAAAAATGTATAAATTATTGATTTTTAATTATGTCCAGTGTTTGCCTAATGTGTTATGACTTAAATTTTCTTCAGAACAGGTGTAAAGTATGAATAACAAATAACCAAGGAGTCTAAAAAGGCACATATTACCAATTTAAGCAGGGGTTGAAGAACTATAATTTTTTGAGGGTTGATACCTTATATAAGGTAACATGAAAGGGAGTGAATCCTTCTTTAAAAATAATGAGAGTTAGAGTTATTATAATATTTTCTTATTTATTTTTAAGGACGAAACGAGCATCTTTCAGTCATGTTTTCCAAAAAAAAGTAGTATTATCTCTAGAGGTTGAAAATGATTAGGAATTAGGATAAGGATTTCTTTATATTATTAAGAAGGTAGCTAATAAAATTTGCAAAGTTCGTTAGGCTTTAACTTAGACTTTAATACAAATAAACTTTTAACAATAAACACATATATATTATTTATTAGATATAATATGTAGATATACGATTACTATATTTCAAATCTTAGGAACCAGATAATTGATATGTGATTTTATTTTTGTTAGTAAAAGGTATAGATAGTAAAAATTTGTATTTCAGTTGCACACCAGTTCGTATAGCTTATTTCTTCTTTCAAAAATGTACATTTAATATATTGATAGTTTATTACTACCATGACATCGGTAAGAAACGTAAAAATATACTTTACGACCACGCTAAAACAGAAAGTAGTAAAATCTCCTAAGCCATATTTTTGAGAATAGTTTAAATATTTGTTCTCCCTGCTTTTAAAAATGAAGATAAGCAACATTAAAAGTAATGTTAATACGCTTAGAAACGCCCTAAGTAGATTATTTTACTGTTTTAATGGATATTATATAGAAAGACAAATGTTGTGACGATTGCACTTGTATATTTTAACTTGATAAATATAAATACTTGATATAGAATATTAAATCTAGAATGACTATTGAGTGGAAATCAGAGATTTAGATTAAAAAGACAATATTAAACTTAGACGTATAATAAAAAATCAATTTGAAGTCAACGCAATAGATGGCTTATCGCTCGTTAACTGTATCGGCGCTAGTCAACAAACTATTTGTGGCAATCATAAATCATGTCCAAAGGTGCTATCCCTTCCTTTAATTTTATTTCATGTTATAGCTGACCCTGATGGGGAATTCGTTTTTGGGTTAAATAAATTTGGTCAAGTTCTTAGCCGGCTGCCCGTGATCGATATATTGATTTTAATTAACTGAGCTGAACTGGCATCCGAAAATGGAGACACACGAAAGTCCAAGTTGGACTCGATTTGAGGTTGCCAGTCATTTAATTTAACTGTGATTCCCTTGAAGTCCGCACACTTGGGCGGAACTCATAAGTTATTGAAGACCCCTCCTTAAGTGACACGTATAGTACTTACCTTATACGCTATATTATAGTTGCATCCGGAGAATGTGTGAAGAGCTGCCCCCGTCTGAATAAGGATGAACCGCTACATCACGCTGACCCAGTTGGGCGATGGAACCTACGGAACCGTGGTCCTGGGCCAGCGCAAGGACACCGGCGAGAAGGTGGCCATAAAGCGCATGAAGCGCAAGTACTACTCCTGGGAAGAGGCCATGAATCTGCGCGAGGTCAAGGTGCGTTTGTCTATGGAGTCCTAACTTTAAACATTCATTGACCTGGGTAACTCTGCTCTTCTGCAGTCGCTGAAAAAACTGTCTCATCCAAACATCGTCAAGCTCAAGGAGGTGATCCGGGAGAATGACACTCTGTACTTTGTGTTCGAGTACATGAAGGAGAACCTCTACCAAATGATCAAGGACCGGGACACACACCTTCCCGAGCCGGAGCTCAAAAGTATTCTCTTTCAGGTGAGCTGGGATCCATAAATTACCATAATTGAGGATGTTAATAGCAAAAGAAACCCTCAGAGTAAATGAGTGTATTCCTATATGATTCGTAGATCTTATTAAAAAATCCATGGCGATTTTATTTGCAATTGTTTTTAAACCATCTTGACTCAAGGAGTTTAATAACTAAAATTAAAAAAATAAAAGTTGATTACAAATTCTTTCTGCAGGTTTTGACTGGCCTGGCATTCATGCACCGCCACGGGTTTTTTCACCGCGACCTGAAACCGGAGAACTTGCTCTGCTCCGGTCCGGATCTCATCAAGATAGCCGACTTTGGTCTGGCCAGGGAGATCCGATCACGGCCTCCGTTCACGGACTACGTCTCGACGCGTTGGTACCGCGCACCTGAGGTACTCCTGCACTCCACCAACTACGGCAGCACCATTGACCTCTGGGCCATGGGCTGCATCATGGCCGAGCTCTACACCTTCCGCCCGCTCTTCCCGGGCAGCAGCGAGGTGGATCAGCTCTTTAAGATTTGCTCCGTGCTGGGCACGCCAGAGAAGGTGGGTCCCATTTGCAATAAATTTATTTTATATTTTGCGGTAAAAGAAAGTCCCAAGTCTAATCTTTATTGATTCTCAAAGAATTTTACCCGTAGATAACTAATTCAAAAATAAACAAACTAACTAAATAACTAACTTAGATAAACTTTTGTTAATTTCAACTTTAGGAATTTTTTGAGGCTTAATAACAACTGAACCCTAAGTAATCTAATAGTTAATTTCAGCTTAAATGATACTTGAATGATACTTCAATGTTGAGCAAATTAAAGCGAGACTCCTGTTTTAATATTTGAAACCCGTTTAACAAATTAATATTTCTTTTTTTTATAAGAACTCCGAATGGATGCTCAAGACTATATTTAATAGTTTCATACCCGCATAAGTTTATTCTTGAAGTAACAAAACCTGGTTATAGTACCACTCCAATCTTCTACATCCCATTGATTTGTTGCTTTTCTCTCTCAGGGCGATTGGCCGGATGGATATCGCCTGGCGAACATGATCCACTTCCGCTACCCGGACTGCATCAAAGTGCCACTGAGCAGCGTCGTCAGTCGCTGCAGCCAAAACGGACTGGACCTGCTGGAGGACATGCTGGCCTACGACCCCGACAAGCGTCCGACGGCCCAGCAGAGCCTCAAATATCCGTATTTCCACGCCCTCAAGCGCATCTCGCCCACGGCGGCCACCAAGGCGAATGTGCGGCTCAGCTCCAAGTATGCCGCGTCCAATGGCCACCCGGCTCAGAATGTCTCCAACAACGTGCTTCCGGTGCAGGAGAAGCTGCAGGCGGTCACGGAGTTGCTCCACCAGAGCAACAACAATATCAATAGCCACTCCAATCTTGGCAAGACCAACAACCTGGCGGCCAAAAACGGAGGAATGGCCAGAAAGTACCAAACGAAGCTGAGCTTCCTGACCAGCCACGAGATGGGTGCGGGCTCCCTGGCGGACTCCTCCAGCCTGGGAGGAGCCACGACGGACGGCGTACAGGTGCCACAGATTCCGAACGGCAGCGAGTCCATTAACGACATCTACCTGAACCGCAACATCTCGCAGCTCTTCGGACTGCCGGCTGGATCGCAGCACCACCAGCAGGCGCACCACCCGAACGTCTCCTTCAGCACCACCACGTCCCGGAATGCCGGCGCCATCTACGTCAATGGCAGCCATCTCAGCTACGACACGGCCAACATGAATGCCAAGAACAATGCCAAGCTCGTGGTGGGCGCACCCAATGGTGGTTACTACGTGCCGGTGGCCAGGCCATCACTCCTGGGCCCCGATGCCAAAGTGTACAACGTGTTCTCCAAGGTCAGTGCCAGCCAGGCTCCTCCGAGCCTCATTGTGCGCCAGCCGCAACTGCAGCCGGATGCGGGACCACCGCCCTTGCGACTCTCTGGAAGATCGCGAGCTGCGGCCCAGGACTCCAAGTTGGGGGCTCTGAAGTCCGACGATCTGGATCTAATACTCGGGTGAGTTTGCAGACGAATTTCGATTATATTAATTTACCTTTAATATTTGATAAACACTTATACAAAATGATTTCCAAATGAAATCTTAGATTAGATATTTGGAAAATATTTCTAATACATACATATGTACCTACATTTTTCAAATAAAAGTAAAATAACAAGTTTTAAAATTGTATAAACATAGTACAGAACATTAATGACAATTTTATTACATCACTGGCAAATTATACTACATTTTAATGTCAAATTAGTGTACAAATTCAAAAGTTAAAAAAGAAATAGAACAGTTAAGTTGATATTTCCAAATTATAAAACTATCAAGCTATCAAAAAAAAATTTTTTTTTAATTTACTACATTCTATATCTATATTTTCTGTGACAAAATTATAAATCATTACATTTTGTAAAGGATACCAGAATTCAAAAAAGATTTGTAGATCATTTCATGATAATTTTTTTTTTCTGAGTTTAAGCACTCCTGGCACTGCACCTTGTTTTGTCACTGCACCCAAATGAATCCTGCGCAACCTCACCGTGTGTATATCCGTATCTCCCCCGCACAGCTCCAAGCTGAAAACCTCCGCCAAGCGTCAGCGCAATGCCAAGGCCAACATCCTGCTGGAGGATCTGTTCGGACAGCTGTCCATGGACTCGGATAGCGACGGGAAGTATCCGCACACGGTGCCACCCACGCAGCAGGCCAAGACCGGCAAGACGTCGACATCGACGTCAACCGGTGGCACCCGGGAGCGGGATCTCTTCGGGGAGAGCTTCCTGCCCAGGCCGGGATTGCGGAAGAAGGCCACCCAGAGCAGCCTGGAGGTGAACAACGGCAGCCACGCGGACTCGCTGTAAGTGGGTGGGAAGGACATCCTTTCCTTGGTGCGGAGGACATCCGCGCTGGCCTGCATGCCCTGTAGACCCTGACCCGTGCTTCCTTGCATCCTCATGATCATGATCCCTGCATCTGCATCCTGTCTCTCTCTACATTGTACTCTGTCTCTCTCCTTTCTCCTTTCTCCATTCTCTCTCTGTCTGTTTCTCGCGTTGTCTCTGTCGCCGTTTTGTGTGTTTTCGTTTGCTTGTCATTGAACATTGAACACTTTGTGTGGGTGCCCCAAGTGATAACTCCTCCTCGTCCTCCCCCTCAATTGATGAAGAATGTCGCTTTTGGCCCATAAGGTAAAAACCAACATTCGCCATTGAGCTGTAAATATGTATCAGTAGCAGTAGAGACTCTAGACCACATCATATCATCATCGTAAATAGGGGAAGGAATTTCTAGCTGATCTCGTAGTTTCAGTAAGAAGTCCCCCCTCTGTAGTCAAGCACTTTTAATTTGCCTGTCTCTGATTACACAATTTCTTGTAAAATAGATTTTAATTATTATCTAATTTAATACTATCGAAAACTGCCTCCTTTTCTATACTAAACACACCTCTATGTAGGCAAGACACCAATTAATGGAATTTGTACGATATGTATCTTGTTTAGGTTTTTAAAGAACTGCTTTTTTAGAAAGATAAAGGCTAAGCAGAAATATTTTTTAGATATGTTTAACTGTTTCGGCAAAATCAATTTCCGGATTACTGTGTTTAATATAGTTATTCCGATTAAAAATATCCCTGGGTTAAGTAAAGATGTAATTCAGCTATCTTAGTCTGAGAAATCGTGTAGTTTTAAGATATTGAGAATTATTTAATCAGATATTGAGAACTTGGATTCTTTAAGAATAAAGGAATTTCTTTGGTTAGCTCTGACAAATACAGGTCAATAAACGATAAAGTATTATGGACCTAGGCAAGATACATCTCGTACTAAATTAACTATTTTACTATTTTTTAAATTCAAAGAATTGACATTGGCCCACATTATTTCAGAGCTCAAAACACTCAAAAGGAGAAACCCGCGGTGGCAGCCAGTTTCCCCTGGGATGAGACCAACAAAACGGAGGACGAGAAGCTAACGGCTTGGATGGTGGCCGAGAACGGTAACTTGGTTTTGGGTAGTCATCAGCAAGCGTAGAAGTCGAGAGCACTATACCCCAATCCACAATAAGTAGTCACTTAGCAATCACCCAATTGGAACTTGCAAATGGTAGTGTAAATTCGAGCACCGCTAGGAAATTCTAGTGTTCGAGTTTCAAATGTCCTTCTATCCTATTCCCAGGATCGCTGCTGGAGAATAAGTTCTGAGGAGATGACTTGCGAAATGCCGTTGTACCTGAAACAGAATGGAGTAAATTAAAGTGCCTGTTGATCTGCGTATTTTCAAACTGAATCCAAATCCAAATTACCAAGCCATGGAGCCATGGAATCAACGGATCGGCGTGTTGAGTTAGTCTAGTCTCGATATAATGTTATTGCTGTGATACAATTAAGCTAATCTATTGTGTAAAGTAGCCTACGAACTTGAGTCTCGAGTCTAAGTTGTACTTTAAGCTACTATACGATAATATAATCCGAGTGAGTTTTGAATCGATTGCAAAAGTTGAAGGCAAGTGCGGGGATTTGGTTTCATTTCCCCCATGGGAGAGGTATATGGGTTGCATAAGGCTTGAGTGCAGTGCGGGGTATTCGATTTCTTCTCCCATAAGTTGGCCACTGCGACAATGGGCCAAGCGTCGGCATATAAAAGAGGGTTGAGTGCAGCTCTTAGTCATCAGTCGAGTGCACTCCATCGCTCCAATTACACCTCGTACTTTTTCGTCATGAATGTCTTGGTAAGTGAGGATAACACCGCTCCTTTTTATATCACAAACCCTTGTGTAGCATTCTAGTATCGGCTTCTGCCTTATCCTGAGCGCCCTCGTCGCTGTTCAGGCTGGGATTATTGTCAGCCATCCCGATGAACTGATTGCTAGTCCCGCACAATACGAGTTCCACTACTCTGTCCACGACAGCCACACCGGCGATGTAAAGGACCAGTTCGAGCACCGACGTGGCGAATACGTAACGGGGCGCTACTCCCTCATCGAACCCGATGGTCACCGACGCATTGTGGACTACACCGCCGATCCGCTGTTGGGTTTCAATGCTCAAGTTCGTCGGGAACCGATTTCTCGCTATTGAATTGGTTTTCCAGAGGATGTGACAAAGGATATCACGAGCTGACCGGATTCACGATTTGGCTACCTTAACTATAAGCCACCATGATAGATGAAAATGTGTATTCATAGAATAAATCGAAAGGCTGTTCATTTAAATATTCAAGTAGATTCATGATCTACCCAAACCGTTTTACTGCAAGGAAATGGGAAAGGACACTAAAGGTTACGGTTAAAAGAAATCCTATCTAGTTAAAAAAAGTTTATCTGGTTATCAACATAAAAAAGCACATCTTAAAATATCGGCCAATCTGACTATTTTATTATAGCTATATAGGTATTTTCAATTATAAAAAATTTCATATTTTTGTAAGATATATGTGAACAGTTAAAGCAAGAAAAGTCAGACAATATTTTAGAATCGAACATAGTTTCCAGCAATCCTATTACATTTTCAATTAAAAATCTTTAAAAGATCTTTGTAAGATAAAGATTATGTATATTGGCTGAGTTTTGGTTTATATGTGAACACTTAAAACAAGATCACAAATCACAATACAAAATAAGTATGTTTCTGCGAAATGATGGTGATAATGAAATCAAAACATAAGATAAATTTAATAGCAAGGCTCAAAAAGTAAGCCAATATTTCAGTATCGAACCATAGTTTTCATAAATCCCATTACATTTTCAATCAAGAATCTTTAAAAGATCAAAGTATGTTTTCTAAAAATGCATTTATTGCCTTCTATATACACAAAGTATTTACATAGATGAGATAGAGGCCCTCAGCCATCGAGTTATGGCACTTTCGATGACACGGTGCCGAAGAGTCTTAGTACAGATATCATAGAGTAGGAAAATAAAATAGGTACAGAGGAAGGTAGATACGATACGAGGTGTCTGGTTAGTAGAGCAATAGTTCAGATACAGATGCGGATGCGGATGCGGATAGGTCGTGGTCGATGCGATGAAGTCAGTGTTTGCTATCTCTCTCGATCAATCCTTCCCAGAGCTTAGTGGTAAATGCCGAGGGGAAGTCTGGCGGGGGCGAGGAGCTTGGGTGCCGCATAGGCCAGAGGCAGGGGGGCAGGTGCCAGGATCTTGGCAATGGGCGCGGCCTTGATCACCTTTTGGCCCAGAGGATCGCGACGCACGACGGCATTGAATCCGTTGTGGGCATCCGAGGTGTAGTCCACGGTGCGCAGATATCCATCGGCATCGACCAGCGTGTACTGACCCTGGACCTGGTCGCCCTTCCTGGACTCCGTCTGGCTCTTGATGTCGCCGGTGTGCTCGTCGTGCACCGAGTAGGCGAAGTCGTAGTGGGCAGGCGCCTCCACCTCAATGGTCTTCAGCAGGGGCTTTACAATGGCCGCGGGTGAGTGGTAGATGGGGCTGATCGGCAGCTCGATGGCAGCGGCAGCTCCAACACCCAGGATGAAAAGAGAAACGAGCTGAAATTCATTTGAGGTTGAACACAGGATAATACACAAATTACTAATTTGACTTAGCCAATTTAATATTAATATATATTAAAAAAAAATTATAGTTTTTTTTTTCCATGAAAAAAAGTTGTTAAAAAATTGGTTTTTCCTTAAAGTTTTGTAAAAGTTTTGGAGCATTTTTTACTTTTGTATATATTATTTGTTAATTTAAAATTGAACACAATTCTTCACTTTGCAAGGAATTTGTCACAAATAGTTTTAGTTTTTTTCAATCTTTTATATTAAAAATTAGAATACATTTAAAGTAATTGTTTTTTATGTATTTTTGTGATCTCAGCACATTAATCCTAAAATCCTTTTCACTTACAGCAAACATTTTGGCTTGGACTTGGTTTGGGATTTGGTGAATTGGCTGACTTGGTGGCTGCTACGGCTCCTGCACTGTACTATGTCTCCAAGTGTCGCGATCGAAACTTTTATAGTCAAAGCACTGCTCTCTGGCCCTGCCCCACCACCTCCACCTCCATCGCTTGATGGGTGCCACGCTCCAAGCACACGCACCACACACTCCATAACCCACACCAAACCCCCAAAAACCGATCTACGATCACCTCACCCAGCGAACCGGAATCAGACTAATGCAAAATGGTTTTAATATTTTTATTTCATTTTTTCGACAAATCTTGTACTCAGGTATCGCAATAAAACATTTACAGTGCTCTACTTTAGGTAACAATGTAGCTATGGTAAGCGTAAGCTCTTGTCACTGGAATAAAACATTGATAAAAGACAATGGGCCAAAAGTCAAGTGAAAGTTAAGAGAGGTTAACATTGAACGAGGATAACTATTTATTCACTGTAATTGACTTAATTAATGAATATAAATTGGTTATATATATATGTATATTTTATCTAAGGATACGCAATTGCAAAAGGTTCCTCTTGGAATCTTCAGCAAACCTTTTTCCGGACTTTTTCCATCTAAGCCATATCAATTAGAGTCCAACAAACCGCTAGCCAAGTTGGCTGACACATTCGATGGCTTTAGGAGGGGCATTAGTTTATCGCCGTCACATCAAACAAATTGCACGTTGACATTCGTAGATCGGGCAAAATCGAAAAAAGCCGCTAAGAGCCTTGCCGATTATTTTCCACTTAATTAATTAATCAAATTGCAACATCCGCTCGTGTGCCGCCCAAGATCGCTGCTATGGCTCTGGATCTCGATCTGGATCTGGGTCTGGGCTGGTCAGGTGGCGGAGCCGTCGCCTTTCACGCATGTGCTCCGCACACAAATCAATGCGACAAAGGCTGGCACCGTGGACTCCCCGTACCAAACTCGTTGCCAAATTCGATATGAAGTAATAAGCTGGTCAAGTGGGGTGGGATCAGGTGGAGTTGGATGGAGTATAGTGAAGTGGTTCAGTGCGTATGCGTATTCGAATCTTGCGCCACATTCATCTAGAACCACATTACGATTTCGGTGCGAGTGGTTGACTCTGACTGTGAGTGGTCGTGGACCAATTTGGCATCGCCGCCGCCTGCTCACGCACTTGGACAGATCGGTTCCGCCGGCTCCCCTTCTGATCGCCTGTCCCCCTGATCACAGGCTCCATTTTCACCGCTCCGCGCGGGCGTGCCGGCTGTCGTTCGCTGTCCAGCGTCGCCCAACCCAATCAGCAACAAGACATATAAATTTAAGTAGTCTCTATAAATAATAAGTTGTGTCTACTTAGCGACATGTACACTCGCGCAGATCGTGTCCGATACAAATGCAGGGAGAAGGGTGGTAGGAGCAGAAAAGTGCTGGTATGTTTTGGCAATTCTGTCAAATATGCTAAGCGAATGGTGTTTAATGGTGCTCCTTTGGCCATCCACTTTGAGTTTCGGCAACAGATATTTAAGATAGCCTGAGTAATAGGGGTACCCTTGGTCATCTTAGTTCACGCTGATTACGGTCCACAAATATTAAGTAAATTAAAACTATATTTTTAAGGAATTGTTATTACCTTTACCTCAAAATTTACCCTACCTACCATATAATAAAAATTCATATTTTGGCATTTCTAAAGTTTTTATTTTCGATTTCAGATGCGTTATATGTTTTCTTGAAATATCAAAAATTGCAAATAGATTACATATGTTTTTCACTGACATCTTTTTTTGGTTTTTTGTTAATTGTTCAGCTGTATCAACAGTACGATGCACTACACATAATCATTTGCCTAACATATGAATTGTTTATGTAGAAAAGGTTAAGTAAATCGCTAGCGTATTGTACTATATAGAGCCGTATATGTTCAGTAATTGGCAATTTTGAAAACGGTGAATCTATTGGCTCCGCTTTGCCTGCCCCTAACACCATTGCTCGTCCTTAAAAAATAAAATAATATAGAACACAATTACAACAATGAAAACGAGTGAATGATCTTTGGCGCAGGCAAAAAGCCAGTGAGGTAAAAAAAAGCAAAAGCTGTTAACAAGAAAAAGGTGCGACGGTCACCAGACAGATGCCTACGTCCCTCATAACGCTCCCGGTTTCAAGGAGAACGAAAGCTTGGGCCTGGAATTGTTTTTGCCTAGAATAACCTTCTGCTCCTCCTTAACGCGCTTCTCCTGCTCCTTGCGCATGCGTTGCCGCTCTTCGTCCATAAGGCGCTGCTCCTCAATTATTGCTAACCGTTCTTCGGCCTACGAAAATAAGAAAACATTATTGGAAATCACCTTGAGAAAGTAGTCATTTAACTAGACTTACCAGTTTTCTTTGCGCCTCTTCGATTTTGCGATTGTTTTCGGCCAAAATTTCTTCGAGCTCTTCGCGTTTTTGTTTTTCATCCTCCTATAAAACCCAAACAAATGGAAGATTAATAAAGAAAATCGACCCTTTAGCCGGAAGCTTATAACTAGGATATATATATAAACAGTCTCTTGACATCAGCGATGCAAACTGTGCGACGAATTAGACGCACGTTTGTGGTTGCAGTTTTTTGCTTGATGAGCTGCAAAGGCAGTTAGAATCTAGTTTTATGTTTAACAATAAGTTACAAAGAATATTTTGGTAGAAAGTAAAACATTTAGTAGTGTCTAATAAGAATGTTTAAAGTAGGTTGTTCTTTTAGTTTATTACAATAAAGGAGCACACAACATAAACAAATGTACTAGTATTTGCTAAATGGTTGGTCTTCATTTGAATTTTTTTTATTGTTGCTACTTACTATTTAAATAGGTCATTATTCCAGTACAAAGCTAAATTTGTGTAAATTTATAGATTTTTTTGCAGATTTTCGATTTGGGTATATATTATGTGGAGTTTTGTCGCTATTCCAGACGTGTACATAAATTGCTCGAAAAAACAAAAAGCTCAAACACAAATACTTGGCAATCGGTACGGTCAAGAATCCAATGCGAATCCGGTTTAAAAATTCTTACAGACAGAGATCTATAGAGCTAAACATTTGGGGTTTGTCTTTGGGTCTCTTTGGCGTCCATTTGCCGATCACAAGTTAAGGTGGTTGTCGCGCCTGTTATCCTTACGGCTGCTGGCTTATCACATCGCTGGCGTAGGAAACTCACCCGTCATTTATTGGCATTGGTTTGCTTTGCATGCAGCTTACAGATGGGACTAAAATCAGTCGGCCCGCCCCATAACTAGACAGCCTAACTACCCGGACTAACTTAAGGACCCCACTTCGATTTCATTTTCTTTGGGGTGTGGAGGAAGTGCGTCCATGGACCAAACGCTTGGCAGCAGGCTTGCTCAACTTCCGGCATCGCGGCTCAACGTGGAGTGCACGCGAGTGTTTTGCGGGTTCGGGTCACAAAACACCCACTTGCATACGGGACAAGAGCAGCACGTTCGTTGCACGGGCCTACTGAAGCGGAGTTTGCGCGCAATTACAACAACAACGAGTTACAAGAACCAATACCAAATTAAAATTATACAGTATGTGGGTAGGAACGAACAAAAGATGAAGCTAAGAGTATGCAAGAGGTCTGCAATAATGGGCTTCAAAACTGTGACACATGCGACACTTGGCAGTGTCGTCATTATGGCTTTTTGGTAGGAAAAATAAAAATTACAAAATTATTTGGCAAGAAGAAAGGGGCGAAACCAGCCGTGGCGCTCTCATCCCGGCTCACTGCGTGGCAGGCTGCATGTGGGGGCTCTGAAAAGGCGTGACTGGTTAGTGATGTAGTCGGTTAGTGGGCGCGCTGTGCCCTGGGTTATGCAAGCAAACTAGTAGGGGGATGCCGATGGGAGATGGGATGATGGATGAACACCCAGTGAGCCGTGGCTGAGAGCGCCGCCGGATCGATTTCACGTGACGTGGTGGAGACGACTGTTTGAACTGCTGTTTTGGATTTGTTCGAGTTTACGGTAGATGTGGCATTGTGTACGTTTTTCTGACAGTGATAGCAGCAGTCGTCCAGCGGAATCTGAATACGAGCACCTACCTCGCGCCGCCGTTCTTCTTCGCGTATCTGCTCTCGCCGTCGTTCCAGCTCCAGCATCATCTCGCGCTCCATCTCGGCCTTGGCGGTCTCGACACGTCGGTTGACCTCCTGCTCGATCTCGTCCCGCCGCTTCTCTAGCTCCTCTTCAACTCGCTTTTTTACCAGCATCTCGATGCGCTTGGCAGCCTCCTCCTCGATGGTTTTCTGCTCGGCCTCCTTCGCCCGCCGCTGCCTCTCCATCTCGGCCAGGCGTTCGACCTGCATTTGGTTTTGCTGAAATGAATGGGTATATGTAGTTTACTTGATTTAGGAGATATAAGACCAAGACCCCTGCATGAATAATCGAATATACATTTTGGCGCGTAAATAAAAGTTTTTCCAGGAACAACTCTTAGTTAAGCAAAGGAATAGCGAACTATGGAAGTTGGCCGTAAAACGATAAAATGGAAGTTTGACTATTTCCTAAGTAAGCTACAAAACCATAGCCTAAACTTATCAAATCATAACCTAGTCTGGATATCCATTTTCCGACAAGCTCATGCAGGGATTTGGATGGTCCAGCGTGGACCCCACTTACCTCATCCAGCTTCTTGAAGCGGCTGCGTTTCTGTTTGCTGCGCTGTGACTCCTGTTCGGAGTACTGACTGTCGCTGCTCGTCGAGGTGGAGCGCTTCCGGGACTTGAGGATCGAGGGCGAGTGGCGGTAGTCGCGCTCCGTGTGGCGGTCACTGCGATGTCTGTCCCGCTCGCGTTCCCTATCTCGCTCGCGATGGCGATGGTTGTTCACCTCCGAAGATTTGTCTCTATCCGTCCGCGTACTGGGTCGCTCGTGGTCGTGGTGGGACTTACTGCGTTTTTTGTGCTTGCTCTTGTGGTGCCGGCGCTTGCCCGACGGACTGGGAGTGCGTGACCGGGAGCCCATGATGCTGGGGTGTGTGGATTGTACAATTTTGGGCTTGGTAGAGAGCTCAATCGGCTGCCACAACAAATCAATGGAAGCGAGTACAAATTTCAAGGAAATTTTACAGATGCCTTGAAAACAGTGTTGCACAGCGTTTGCAGGCTGGCCTGACATAATTTTGGTATTTTCGCAGGTATTTGCTTTGGTATTTTCTCTGGTATATTATTTATTTATTTAAGTTTTAGTGTTGCGTAAGGTTACAACGAATATTGTTTTGATTTTACTCAGGTTTGTTTTGAATCATGTCGTGGAATTTGTCGATCATCACTTGGTTATCCTTGAAACCAACGCAGTCCTTGGCCGCCTCCTTGGGCAGCCACTTGAGGGCGGTGTGCTCTTCGGAGAGAATAGGCTCCTGGCAAGGATTCCGCAGCTCCGCCAGCCAATAGATCACAATCTTGGGCTTCCCCTGCACCTCATAGTTCAGAGTTAGAGGAGTGTCCTTGTAAATGATCAGATCCTTCTCATCGTAACTATGGATTTGCTTTAAAAATTACAATCGTTCAGAAATTGAATAAAAAAAGCACTTGCCCGGCTTCCTCTTTTGTCTCCCGCAAAGCTGTGGTAAAGTCATCTTCGCCTGGATCTACATGGCCCTTCGGTGAACTCCAGTGAAAGGACCCATAGGAAGCCTTCAGCAATAGATATTGTATTTCCCCGCAAAGACGCCGAAAAATGACGAAACCCGCCGCTTTCTTCATATTGTTGCTATCAACTCACCGGAACAGGTGTCTGCCCAGTGCTGGAAACAGTCCATTAACAGTGCTGCCAATCTAGCTTTTCCCGCCAATTTAATATAATGCACTATTCAAGATAATTTGATTAGGTTAATAAATAGAAAAAAATCAATTTCTGGACTAATTCGTTTTTCGAAGTCGTATCTAGCAATTTTGAACGCACTTTTTTTCCGATTTTAGTTCAGTATATCTATAAATAATATTCAAAATACGATTTTGCAGGAAACTAATTTTACAACTCTTTTAGCTTTTTAGCTATTTCGGACAATGCAGCTTACAAGGAAAATTAGGCAGTGCTGGAAAACGAAAACAGTTCTAACGTACGTTTGCGTCTGGATGTGCACGTTGTTTTGTAAATTCATTACATAAATACAGAAGAAGTACATCGAAGATGTACGCCCTGCTCCGCCGATTTGCCGGGGTCACCAACAATGGCTGTCCCTTGAGGAGCTATGCATCCTTCACGCCTAGGGATGTGATGCGGAGCACCGCCGAAGAGACCGGCACCCTGCTCACCCGCTTTGCGAAACACATTGCGCTGGAGCGGCACAGGGATCCGGAACACGTGCTGCCCAAGACGACGGTTCGTTACGCCGACTTTTTCCCCATCACGGACGATCGGTACTTCCAGCGGACCGTACAAAAGACAGATGCGGCCCAACTGCCCGCCCTGATCATTCAGGCCTCCAGCTATCGCTCCAATGCGGCGGTGCCCATGTATGTGGCCGCCCTGAACGCATTGGATAACCATGCAGCCAACCAGCTGGACAAGATGGAGACCAGCACGGTGCTGGAGACGCTGTACTCCTTTCTGTTTCTCATGCCCAGCTGGTTAAAGCGAACGGATTTCTATCACGCAGCCGTGCAACGATTGGCCAAGGAGGATTTCCGGACCAACAAAGAGCGATTCGTCCAGGTGTGCTTCTATCTGGGCCTGCAGAAGAAGCAGGCAAAATCTTCAGAGGACTTTCAGCAGCTGCTGGAGGAGCAGCTACCAACTCATTTGTCCGCCTTAAGCGAACTGGATCTCGCCGTGATCAGCAATGCGGCCTACAAAACCTCCACATTGGTGACGGGCGAGGCTAGAAGTTCTTATGAATCATCCCTCATTAATGCCACTTTGAATCTGCAACTCAATGACGGAGGCGACGCCTTGCTGGTCTCCTATGTCAAGGCTTTGCGGCTGCAGCGGGTCAAAGACGAGCGAGTTTGCCAGCACTTGCAGGATATCTGTCTGGATCCTGCGAAGATAGCCCTCATTGAGCCCCGGGGATTGGCCCACATCTTTGCATTCTTTGCCGAGCAGCTCTGGGACCAGAAGGAGTGCCTGACCGTCGTTGTAGACCGACTGATGACTCTACTGAAGCCCGGAGACTTGCGTGCCAAGGACTTGGCCACATTCCTGTGGGCCAGTGCCCAACTCAATTGTGAATTAACACCGCAGCAAGTCAGGCAACTCGAGGTAGCTGCCCTTCGAAAATTGGATAATGGGGAATATGATTATTTCCCGGACAACCTTGTAGATACCTGCCTCTCTTTTTGCACTTTGGGACACTACTCCAAAGATCTGATTAATGCAGCCGAAGAACTTAAGGCCGCCCAAAGACGACAGAGAGCCCAGCCGAAGGTTGATAGTCGCTTAAACGTCCTGCGATCCGCTGTAGCTATCGAGCAACAATCAATAGGAAATCTAAAGACGGAACAAGCTTTTAAGGAGTTCAATCCCGCTCCAGCTTATTTGCTGAGGGATCGACCAGACTTAACAAAATATGCGCAGGAGCTAAGTGGAGACTCTGAAGTGGAAGGCGTGGATTTGGTCTGTCCCATCACTGCGATAAATCTGCCGAGCTTGCGAGTTCAGACAATGGGCGACCAAGAAAGTGTGTATTTCGTAGAACTGCTCACTGCGGAACAAACCCTTAAGTTCAGCAAGAAACCCACATCATTAATGCGTCTTAAGAAGAGGCTGCTGGAATCCCTTGGCCGAAAGGTAGTAGTGGTAAGCGCTTCTCGACAATTGAAAATCTAAACGGAAATTAATTCAATGTCTGCTTTCAGCTAAACTCCACCGAAATGGCCACAAATGCGAAAGAACTGCACCAGCTCTTAAAGCCAGACGCAGGTAGACGAGAAGAGTCCGAGGTTGCCCAAGGGCTGTTCAACTGAACCGTGTGATATAGGCTAGTTACAAGTCGTAGCTTTATTTAACAGTGTTTTATGTACTTGTACATATTATTTTAATATTAATAGCACTAAACATAATGTTCAACAATTAATGTATAATACAAGGAATGGGCTACAGGTGTGGGTTTCCCAACGCTCCTATCGGATTGACTTTATCTTGGCCTTCAGCACGATAAAGGACACCAGCCGGAAAATAATGATCATGGCTCCCAACGCGGCGACGTCGTTCCAGAACTGATCACCTCTCATGGTAATCTCCTCTAGGAATTTCTTTGGATACCTGTAGGTAAAATGTAGTTTAAAATTTGGAAAACCAAAATTTAAAAGAAAAAAATAACTACCTGTAGTGGCAGTAGGGCGCTTCATCGCAAGCGAGGACTCCTCGATTCAGGCCGTAGATGCTTGATATGAAGCCCTCTAACCCATATCTTAAGTATGATATGTGACTGCCCCATTTTAAGTAGCCAGGTAGATCCCGCAGCGTCACTCCAAAGCCGGCGAACATCATCATGGGAATGGTCAGCACTGGCGCAAGGAACGTACCGTTGACCACATCAAACCAGGCACCAATCATCAATCCAAAACTATGGCCGACAAACACGGTCAGTAAACTAATGGCAAAGAACATCCAGAAGCGGATCCACTCCATTGGCTGATAACTCCATAAGTAAACTATGACCGTGAAGAGGAAGCAACTTACGATCTGTAAATGGTAAACTGGAGTTGGAATTGGAAATGGAGACATCTCAGAAGGGTTACTCACAGATATGGGTAGGTCTACAAGTGTCATGGCAGTGTAGTAGGCTTTGAGCGAGTACCAGCGGTTAAAGTGCTCCTTTATCAGTATGGAGATGTCCATAGGGACTGTTTAAAGGTAAATCTAATTAGTTAGTCTTTCCACCCAATAAACTAATGCTAGCTTACAAGTCAGAACAGTCAACATCATCGTGGTCATAGAATGGTGCATCAGTATGGCAAACAGCAAGTTGTAATTGTCGAGTACTCGAGATCCCTCGCGTCCCGTGTGATCGTACATGGCTCCGAATAGAGCAGCCACCGCAATATTGACCCCAATCCTCAAGTGCGTCATGGTCGTGTCCCGTTTCGCTTTAATGAAACCCCGTCGCAACAGCACCGAGCACTGGTTCGAGTAACTGGTGTCTTCTAGGGACCGGCTTTTGGTTTTCTTTGGAATTGGATACTTCCTCATCAGAACCTCGGAGCGCAACACCGCACTAGGATTGTCGAACCAAGTCAGGCAGCTTCCGTTCTCCGTGGCGCCCTTAAGGGTGTCCACCTTGTCGTAGCCATATTCACCACAGGCCAGTTCGATAACTGCAAAATAAATTATTACTTTAGTGCCCCTTCATCAAGAGATTTTTCTCCTACTACTCACTGTAATCCGCCGGATTGTGGTACATGGGACATGGCAAATCCACCGCCTGCAGGAATGGCACTAGTTTCTGGGTGCTGCCCTGGTAGACGCAGTTGCCAGCCGACAAGACGTACACCTGGTCGAAGATCTGGAACAACTTGGCCGTGGGCTGATGGATGGTGCAGATAATGGTGCGTCCTTGGCTAGTCAATTTCTTGAGCAATTCCAGGACCTTTGTGCAGGAGCTACTGTCCAAGCCACTGGAAATGAAAGGGAAAATATATATTCAGACTAGATGGGTAAATAGTCTTATTTGCCTTACGTTGTGGGCTCATCCAGGAACATAACAGTGGGATTGTTAATCAACTCCATGGCAATGGATAGCCTCTTTTTCTGACCACCGGACAGGCGCATTGTGAGGGTCTGATCGTGATTGTACAGGCCTAGCAGCAGCAGGATATCCTCAATCTTCAAAGGGATATGAAATTATCGCACTGACTAACAAATATGGACTTTTATGGACTCACCCTGCTCTCCTTCTCCTCGTAGCTGACCGTCTGACCTAGTTTCAGATCGGCAGCTATATGCATATTCTCATTCACCGTGAGCAGAGGCTGCAGGCGATCATCCTGCGTTATATAACAGGACATTCGGCGGAAGGAGGCTTAGGAATTAAACAAGTTATTAACAGTTCTTCAAAATAGAAGCCTCGATATACTCACGCAAATCACGACGACGACCATTGAGCAAGATGGAGCCATCCACACCCGTGGTCTTGAATCCTGACAGGGCATCTAGCAGAGTGGACTTTCCGGCACCCGAAGGGCCCATAATGGCAATGAGCTGGCTGCCAGGGAACTTTCCGCAAACATTATGCAAGATTTCCTTGGATCCTAAAGAATTGCGAAATTAGTAAATGCTTTAATGAACGACCATTAACACATCACAGATCTTTGGCTAGATTTTACAAGATCGTTGATATCAAAGTTCAGTGGACTTCGTTTATATTCTGAATTAATAGCAGGCTTTTAACTTAACTCAAATTCAACGCCCAGTTAGCTAATGACACGTTAAAAAGGAAGCCTTTAAAATATAATTAATACAGTCTTTTAACGGAAAATAAATCTGGTTGAGTGAATAACCTTTTACTAAAAGGATTTTCGCCACACAACTCGGATAAAACATCAGTTAACAAATTTTCGCCACACAACTCGGATAAAACATCAGTTAACAAATTCAAAGATCAAGCTGGCGTACAAAGCTAAGCACCAGTAAACCATGTTTTAGGTCGTAAAAATTGGTTATTAGAAACTCTTAATGAAAACTATGACACTATTCATATTAAGAGTTAATTATGAAAATTAGTTGCGATTGATATAATCAGATTTTTATAATCAGGAAATGTTTGACTTGTTAAACAGTTGTAAAGATTTAGATATGTGCTCATTATGTGTGCTGACAAAAAACTTTAAAAACTTAATCTATGGAAAATTACGAAGCTATATTGTAAAATATAAATACAAATAGTAAAGCAGTTTTTAAGATATGTAATTTTAATTACCAGGGCCCTGTTGCCCTCTCTATACATTTTGATAATAATGAAATAATTTCAATCTACTGAAGAGTTGACCACACAAATTATCTTTATTTTACTATAATTACCGCCATTGGACTAAAATTTGTATGGGTCCTAATCAAGTTACCAGGGGCAAGCTCATTTTGATATCAATTGCTTTTTGCTTCCTTCTGAACTTTGAAATTAGCAAGCGAACCTTGTCAAAAATCATTATGTCGAATTACAAATACTCTAGTCATGGTCTTATGAAGAAGTAGTGTTTTTCATTTTATAGACTCTGCAGAAAGGGAATTTGTGAATGACTAAGTGACCATGATAGGCACGCACTGCCGGAATATATACAACCGGGAAGGGAAAAGGGGTGTGATCGGAGCGATCGCCGCTTATCTAATCAATGGGAAACCAAGTTGGTAAAAGAACTAGCAAGCAAGTGTTTATGGCTGATTGGTATGTGAAGCATTATTGAAAACAATAACCTTGAAAAACATTTTATTCGGATCTACAAAACCAATATTTATAATTTAGCTATAATTCGCAAAGCAGATTTATTTATAACAGCGCCCTAACTTGTTTTAAATAATTTATAAAACTTGTTTTTAAAATAATATTTTACAATATTATCCGGAATGTTGCCTGTATCTGTAGGATAAAAGTTATATAAAGTCGACCGCTGTACAAAGAGGAGCCGCTTGATCGTAAAACACATAAAAACCCAATGGTCATAACTCCTAGCTAATTTTAAGTTTTCCTCTTGCAATCTTATCGAGCCATATCTTAGATCATGCGATCATGGCATTAGATCGTAAACGACGCCTTCCTTTGGTAGCTCACCTCGATTAAAGCCCAATTTCACGGTGAGGGACAGCTCCCTGAACTCCATGTCCACGGGCTCGCGGGCTGGCAGGTTGTTAAGGGCATCGGTATCGAAGTGCACCTCCTCCTCCACCACGGGTTCCAGTGGTGGCTGCTTGGACCCATTGCTGTAGGCCACCTGTGGCGGGGTGGGGGCGGATGTGGGCGTGGCACTGGACGTCGTGCTGGACTGGCCATTTCGCCATCCTCCGGTGCTGTTCACAGGCACTGTGGTGGTGTTGTAGACGCGACTGGAGTTAACCTCCCCGATCTCGATGCCCAGACCTAGTCCAGCAACTCCGTTGTCGTTGCCGAATAAGAACTGCTCCCGGGATGTCGCCATTGTAGGATTCTAGGGGTAACCTTTCAACTGAAAACATATACAAATTATCGTTTAGTAAACGAGAAATACAAATTTCTTGGACGCAACTTAAAGCCTAACCAGATTGTGAAAGGTTTATTAACCAATCGTTTATTGCAGCTTCATAAAGCTTAAATTAGTTGTGCTTATACGTAAACTTCTCCTAATTTGTTGGTACCGGCCTACGAAAGCTTAAAGATAAAGGTTTTCTTTGTGGAATATTGGTCCATAGTTTTAATGCTTTAATGGATTTTGCAAGGTGCTTGAGTAAATCTAGGAATCTTGTGAGCAACCTGTTGCTGACCAATCCCAAATGATTTTGCCTAACCCATTAAAACGGGTTTCATTGCAGCTCAATTCGCACTTTGATCTAAAGCTGACGGATCGATCAACCTTTGTCATCTAACCTCATCATTCGGATTGGTTATTCCCGATAGCAGGCTGAGATTGTTTATTAATAGCGCCTTAAAAGTGACAGGAAATAGGCAGCTAATCCCCATAAGCCCACTCAATTTATGCCCGATTGCCCGAAGTGCTGTCAACTTGGAAGACTGATGAAATATTTCAATTATCTGCAACAGTCCCAATTAAATGCGAGTTTACATAAGCGAAATGTAGCACGCAGTTTACTCCACATTTCGCACTGCCGCAAGAGACAATTAAACGCGAGTACATTTAATGCACAGATTTGCGAAAAGATCAAGGTACAGCCGATGAGGCGGAGGCGGGCAAACAATAAAGAGGCACAATTGAGTGGAAACGAAATTGCAATCGCGAGTGTTGTCGTATGCACATCTGCTATTGATCCGCCGATCCAATCCGATCCGAACTGATCAAAACAAAAGCATTGTCCCATGCGGAGAATTCACAACAAATGGAATCTGCTGGTGACGAAGCTGTAGCTATGTATATAAATGACTTGGTTATA